ACATCGGAGTCTGTGTAAGAATTTATGAATATTTGAAGTCAAGCGGCATCAATATCAATTACAGGAGGAGCATTATATAGACATTGCATAAAAATCTCTGAATAATAGGTATTAAAGATGAAGAATGATGAAGTTCTTAAAAGATTCTTGGTACTATGTTTTTTTTTTAAATATCTTATATGGTTTTAATTTTCCTTTTCTAAAGAGCGCAGGATTAAAATCACAATTTCGTTTCTGTTTCCTCGTGTGCTTGTCAGGACAACTCTTCATCAATCCTTGAGATAACTTTTTGGTATTATCAACAGTGAAAGAATGACATTTTCTAAAATTGATGTATATCATTCTGTTCCCAATAAATGCCGCCACTTCATCAATAGCCCAATGTGAAGTAAAAAATGGAAATAAAAAAATTTACTAAAGTTTTTTTGAAATTAAAATTTTTCAACTCTTTCGCGAAATCACTTAGTAGATTTGTTCGGGTCCCATTACAGAGTATTTATTTATTTTACACTTTTTTGTACATCACAATTACAATCACAAACAATTACAAAATACACAAACTAATAAACTAAAGGTGAAACAAAAGGCGGCCTTATGGCTTATTAGCCATTTCTTCCAGACTACCTTGGGTTTTGGATTGTGTTTGAAAGACAGTATAGGGTGGTGCAATTTTAAATTAAAAATTTATGGAGATTTGAAGGTGATTGCCTAAATTTTAGGCTTACAATTAGAGTATACTTATACTGTTGTTTTATTTGTGAGTGAGACAGCAGAGACCGAAAAACTCATTTTATCAAGCAAGACTGGCCCAAAAGCCAAACTCTAACTCCAAGACAAAAAAAAATAATTAAAAACTCTCCTTTGGTGCACCCTGAATATATTTTAACCACCCTTATATTTTAACCACCCTTATACATAAAGCCTGCGCTCATGAAGAACTTGGTTAAATCTATGGACAGTGGTAGTTTATTTTTATTTGAAACAAAAATTTGAAAAAAAAAAAAAAAAAATAAAGAGGGCATATTTATTGGCCCTCAAATTTGAGCAATTAATGAAAGATGATATATTTAAAGAAAAACTTAGGAATTTATAAAAATTAGCTTGGTAATATTTCATGAAAGTAACTTCCAATTTTCTAGGAAATAATCACTTATCCGTGTCCTAAACATATATAGATAAAAGTTTTTTTTGTTAATCAGTGCTTTTTATTACTAGAATTGCACGCTTTAATTTCTGCATCGTCTTTCCATCACAGGATGCATGACGAGTAACAATAGTTTTATTCCCTCGAGATGGAAAAATACGCTTCCTTCTTCCTCCTCAAAGCAAAAAATTTGACAGTTTGCCTGCGTCTGTTTCTTTCCAATAAAAATTTGGGTATCTTTAATTTTATAAAGAATAGGCTACTAATATTGTAGTTCACCAACTAGGACTTTATTCTACCTACCAATGGATAAAATGATAGTCAGCCTCTATCCGACTAAACTTCAAAAAAGTATGTAATGAGAAACGGACGTTTTGTTTTATTCTTCTATACAAAAGAAAACTGTTTATTTGTATTCAACTATTTGTTTTGGCCAATACCAACTGTTTTAAAAATCAAATGCAATTTAATGATTTCGTCCAATTTATGAGCCCGTCTTTTATTTACTATCGGTTTCACTCCATAAAGAGCTATGATAAGGAAGTGAATTATGAACGATCACCGTCACGGTGTAAAAAGATTATTTTCTTCATTTGATGAGTCATACGAAGAAATTAATTATTTTGAAAGATATGACTCATCAATTGCATTTGATGAGTCATAATTTATATCTTTCGATAGACTTGTCTGAACGGGGGATTCCATCCATCGCTTTAATCTTTAAAAGAATGATAAAAGCGAATCAAAAATAAAAGGTAAAAGTATCAAAACTAATAAATAATATGTAGAAATGTCGGGGTATCTAAATATAAAATTTAACCTTCTCAATTAAATAAATAAGGTCTTATAGAAAGTATAACGAAATATTTACATTTATTTTAATATCATGTCAAAAAGTGTAATTTAAATAATTGACCACAGTATGTATAACTTTTTTAGTAATAAAAGAAAATCCGAGGAAAATTGACGAATCACTTTAAAATCGTTAATTGAATGTTTATAATGTTTGCGTCCAACTTCAATAGATAATAAACCTGTCATAAAAGGATTTTTGATAAAAAAAATAATACTGTAACATAGGAAAAAAAAATGTTAATTACATTTTTATCAAAATAAATCAATTAAAGAAATTATCAAAAAGATTCTTTGAGCCTATTTTTCTTTAGGGCTATGAGTATGTTTAATAACAAATGAATTTTCACATGTCTATGAATTATACATATTCTTTTGATATTAATTTAAGAAAAACCTCCATCATTTCAAAAGAAAGTATTTAGCTTAAAATTTTATTCCATTATACTTAAGAAATTAATTTGTAACTACCTTTTTTTATTACAACTACAACATAAAATAAGTAAATATAAGAAATTGGTAAACTTTTTTAAGACTCAATTAACAGATGACCAAAGTTTTGAATTCTTTTTACCTTTTTCTGTTTATATAACTACAAGAGAGCCGAAAACAGAATTATTTCTGTTTGTGCAATAACATTGTTGTAAATGTGTCAAGTGTTAATATTTAATAATCTACAATCTTCTTGAATTTAAATTAATTGAGAAATAATATATTTGCCACATATTGCAACTAATAATGCAAAAAATGTTAACTTCTCTCATCAATCAGGTTTTTACTATCATATATTATTTGTCTCCAAATAAAAAGTTGTATATCTCTTTATAATTTATCATTCCAGATAAGTAAATAACATTAATTTTTCAATATTTTATTATAAACATTCAAAATGACAAAAAATATAGATATCTTAAGTAGGCAAAACTGATAACAAACATATCTTTTTGTAACAGAGACCATACACATCAACTTGTACTATACCTGTAGTAGTGAATGGTTAATGATAACTTATTTGTATGTAACTAAATAACTAACTGCATATCTTCGCAACCATCGCATATGTAATATATGTGAGTTTCATTTGATTCAGATATAGCAGAAAAATGTACATTATTGCTACAGAAGCTATTATGCTTTTCAATTTTTTCATTTATAATACTTTTTAGGTTTTGCAGTGTATTATTTACTTTTATTTTGATATTACAAGGGGGACATGATAAAGTATCATTGTTAACAAAAAAATTATGTTTTTGACAAATTAAACATATAATATTCTCTTCATATTCTTGTGCAAGCGAGTTAATATAATCATTTTGCGATTTCTCATACTCCTCAATCCACCTACAATAAAATAGAAATATTAATAATTTTTTCTCATTTTAGCTTCAATTACTATATAAATTTAATTTTAACTTCAAACTATTCACATTGATGGGACTAGATATAAATATATGATAATTGTCTTGTTAGAAGATCCACTAAATAACATACCAATCTAATTCATTTTGAATTAATTCTTGTTTTATTTCTTCTAATATTTTGGCCTCTTCACTATCAAAAACAAAGTCTTCATTTGATATATCTTTATTTGAGTTTACAGTTTCATTGAAAATATCTGTCAGTGTATCACGAAGATCACTCCCTGAAGAACCTCGAATTTTATTCAGAAGCAAACAGCGGCTATTTTGTATTTTGCTTTTATAATCCTAAAATTTTATTACAGCTTGTATAAAATATTAATTGACATGATTATTATCGCAATTCATATACCTTTCTCATTTTCTCTTTAAGTTCTAGTGGTGAATGTATCTTTTTAATTTTGACATTTTTATAGGTAGGATACGAAGTAATATTTTGCGAATTCATTACAATATACGAAAAACTTTACAAATATTATAAGAACTTGAACTTCAAAATGTGTAATGTGAGTATATTATGAAGTACTTTTAAATTACGAAAGAGCTTTAAACACCGAGTAAGTGTTAAAAATTAAATATATTTTTAAACACTAACAAATATCACATTTGTAATTTATGTTGAAACTACAAACGACAGAAATAATAGAAAAAAATTAAAGAAGTATAAAGATGAGATTGACAGTTGTATAAAATATAAAATTCATAAACAAATTTGACATTCGACAGCCATTCCACTCACAGCACACATTAATCACCTATGTAATATTATTATATGTTGCAAGGAACTCTTTATAATTAAAAAAAATACTACAGTATGACCCAAAAAAAAAGAAAAAAATAATTACCAGTGAATATCACAAAAAATGTTCGGGATTTGAAGTATCATTCCTATTTTTAGTTAACTAAATAATATACGTAGACTGGCTTTTTACAAAGTACAATAGTTTTAAAAAATAACTAATAGTATTATACCTAGTAGTAACTAAATGACTATTTAGTAACTACATGAAATTGTAATATTTTTTTGATACTAACCAGTAACCCCTCTTTATTTTAGAAAAAAAATCATTTTATTCTATTATTTCTGAATAGGGCATTAGGAAACATCGTTTTGCTTCAAAAGTTAATAACATATATCTGGTAATAAAAAGGTAAACGTAATTTTCTAACGATATGTTCTAACAAAACATTTAATGTCATCTTTGTTTCATAAGTATATTTATAATTTATCTTCTAAAAAAGATTAAAATATCTATAAATATTCAAAAAACAATAATTACATAATATGTTGCATAGTATACAAACGAAAAATGAAGTCTAATGTCCACATCTGTATCTTCTTGTTTAGCAAAAATTAAATCTATTGAAATTATTATCTCTTGAGTTCATATTTTATAAATTATTAGTTAATAATAGAAAAATTATTAATGTGGCAATATTAAACTTAAATTTTCATTGCGAATGTCAGATAGATGGAAAAAAACAATGTGAGTGATAAGTGGAAATATGGCTAAATCTAAAACTTGAATTTTATAAAAGTGAAACAAAATAAAAGTTCTTCTCAATTTAATTTTCTTGGAAATCAAATGTATCAAACAAAAATGACGCATGTAGAGAAATTACCCAGTCGCCCTGGTAAGGAAGCTATACATTCGGGACACTTTATGGTCTCGCATTTTGAGGCTGAGGGTCAGGATGATTTTGATGACCTAGCAGTACCCATACCTGAAGAAGAGCAAAACGTACAAAAAGTATCAACAGTGGCAACCTACACATTACCTTCTGAAAAAGTTCAACATTACACTGTAGAAGAAAGTAAACAACATCAACTACTTTCTATAGAAATATCTCTTACAAAATTGTTTAAATGTATGACTTTAGCATATAGGTAAGTGGATGCTTATTTTAATTATTTATACTCATTGTGTAATACTTTTGGTTTACAATATTATTTATTAAAAAAATATCAAGTCCCAAAAAACAAAACTGTTGAATAAATTTCTAATAAACTTATGCAACCTTCTTTTACTTTAAACTTATAATAAGTTACTATGAAGGTTGCATATCGACTGAGGTAGTAGGTATCTAAAATTATTAGTTTTTATTAAATTTGTCTTCCTTTCAAATATTTTGTAACTATCAGGAAACATTTTCTAAGTAGGTTTGGTTTGCAAAGATAACATTAGAGGTCAATACAGTCTGTTCAAAAGACACAGGTCATGTGGACAGATAAGTTAGTCTGTAACAATCAGTTGTAAACATCTTACTGAATAAATAACCAACATTATTACTACTGATTCCAAATAAAATTTTCCTTACAAATAACCTTAATTTAAAAAAAAACAAGTATTTGGAAACTTTATACTTATTTACTTATATTTCCTTTTAAACAATATAGTTTTTATATATTGTAAGTATTTTTACATTGTCTTTTGTGATATAACACTTCATGCTATATCTTAGTTGTAATGTAGGGTTTATGTTAATTACCTAGATGGCAATAAATTATTATATAATCATTCAAATCTAAATAATTTAACTATTATGGAAACTTGTATATCCTCAGGTTAAATCTTGTAAAAACGAGGTTATAAGATTTTTGCTTTCTATTTATTTATCAATTATAACATGGCAACTAATAGATAATACTATTATATGCTATTTCATTTTTAAGTTTAAATCATACACTCCCATGTATACAAAGAGTGGTAGAATGAAAGATAAGATACTGTCAGGTTTGTTCCTTATCAGAACTGCTATTTATAATAAGCTTAAGATCACTTATTGATAGTGTTCAAGATAAGTTATTTAACAAACACCTGTAGACTTCTATAGTCACAGTACAGTTTAGTCGGTGAGGCTGTACATTAAAAAAATATAACACTTATTTTTTACTTTGAATTATAATGTTGAACTTAATTCGATTCAAAGCAAAGATGTTAACTTTGTGTTTAAAAACTTTTATATTTGATATAAATATGAGAGTGCTATCATTGAATACGAGTTTGTGAGGGGAACTGGGGGGAGTATGGTAAGAGTTTGCTTAAGTTACATGTATATTTCTAATTTCTCAGACAAAAACTAACATCTCCAAAATGGAATCGTTTCAAAGGTATAAAACTACGGTGGAAGGACAAAATAAGATTGAACAATGTCATATGGAGGTGCTGGCATATGCAGTGTGAGTTTTTTTTTCCCTTAAAATTATATAATTACTCTAAATATATTTAACAATTCATTTTGGGTTTCTCCATTACATATTTTGCAATAAATGTCAATATCATTGTAACATGCGCAAGGCAATTGTTGGTAGATTTTATTAGAATTTATTTATGTTAATTGCTTTGTTTGCCTGCTAATATTATGTCATACCTACTACATGATGTTAAATACATTCATTACTAATATAAATATTGAAGTTTTTTATTCAATTTACCTTATGGTTTGTAGGATCTAAGTATAATGTATTAAGTTATTGCAATTATTTATATATAATTTTTGATATAAGAATGTTATCAAAATCATTTTATTTTTAGGTAACAAGTATATATATCTTTTTTATAGTCATAATAAAAGAATGGATAAGATTCTCATATTCAGAATGTTTATTAATATATAAAGAGAAACACCTGCTCTATAAATAATTATATTATTTGCCCTTGATACTTATTGTATTGTGTAGGTGAAAATTTTACAAGTGTCATACAATATTTTTGTTTCAGTTATAAAGAAACAGAACACGTTGGTCTGTCAATTTGCATCCCCATTGGATGTTGATACTCACGTAAAACCAGAAGTATGTGTTTTTTATATATTTTTTTAAATATTCACCAATCAGGTCATCAATAATATATACTGTTTACAGACAACTATACTAGAGGGAAAGTATTGGAAAAGACGCGCAGAAGCAGTAATAGCAGAATATAAAAAATGGCGCATGTTTCATATTATGAGACTCCTTGGCAAGGGGGACACCTCTGTCCAGGATTCGGTAAATGTATTGGCTTTTTCATTACCATATTAATTATATTTAAAAAGTACAACACTTATCCTTTGTATGTATGGCAAATACTCCTTGTGATAATATGATATGTTCAACAGATGTCGGACATGGACACAGTCGAGTCTCAATGCAGCGACTTCGCGGCCAACATGCTCACAGACGAGGACTACCTCAGCTTCATGAGTGACACACTCTTCTCAACCATCACAAGCCATCAACCCTTTGCTTTCCCCGATTGCAGGGAAATTGGTATTGCTTATTAAAATGACAATGTAAAGCTAAAGAAAAGAAAAGTCTGTATCATATTGCTTCATGGTTGTTTTTGATTTTAGCAAGAGGCGCAAGCTTAGCTGATTTCATTCAACCAAGCTTAGGTCCTCTGCAACCAAATCTCGATGATTTTATGGACACACTTGAACCACTCCAGGGTATGTTGATAGTTAATAGGATTCTATTAAGTTTGTAACATTTGTAAATGAAGATTAAATATCTTTTTTAGATCTTCTTTTGACACCTCGATTGCCGCCAGTTCCAGAAGAGCCTTCGATCCCATCTGAAGACACTTTATACAGGAGTGGAATGTCAGTAGATTCTTATAACCCACAGAACTATATTGCTGAAAGTCATAATACTTCAGTCACAATGCCTACCAGTCAGATGACTATTCATGGTACTGTGTTCACTAAATTATCATCATCAGTTATCCGTAGTACATGACTCTAAATTTGCTCGCCTTCCAGGTACCAGTAGCAATGCACAGTTGATGTCGATAAATCATCAGCAGATTAAAAATGAGCAAATACAAATGTATGACAATAGTCGTCTGTTCGCAACCGCAGAACTGCCAAATAATATGCTCGGTCAACAGGAAATGTTGCCGACGTATTCACAGGGTACTTACGATCAGACTGTGTCACAGCCGGAGGCACAGATGCATGGTAACGTTTACAATGATAAGACTTCCAGGGTGCAGTACGGGAACTCGCAGCCCAAAATTATTGCTCACCAGGAGAATTGTTACCCGAAATATAATGCTGGTGGGTGTCAGGGAACGGTTTGATATAAATGAGAAGTAATGTGATAACTATTAATGGAATAAATCCCACAGCTCTGCCGCCGTCCCAGACCGCGCCAGAGACGGTGTCTCTTCTGCAGCAGCCCGTGCAGAATTCCAAGTACGCTTCAACGGTCGTCATTCAGGGTCGAGGAGGGTTCAGCCGGGAGAAGCCGCGCTCCCGCATGTCGCACTACACGGGCCAGATGACCAACCATTATCAGAACTACCCTCAAATACAGAACCAACAGAGCTTCGAGTCCCGTCCGCGACCCTCGCCGCCTCAGATGCAGTACCTTCATCCGAATGTGGAGTTCAAATCCAAATCTTCACCGACCGGCTCGCGACCGTTCAAGCTTCCGTCACCGCCGCTAGTTCCGGTGACGACGCAACAGGTAACACTCAATATATGACGAAAATCAGAGTACTATTTGCAAAATGAGACAAACTTTTATATTCACTTCATTGGAAAAATGCTATTGACTACAAATTGAATAAATAAAGTAGTGTGATTATTTTAATATTTTGTTGCAGCTGGTTTTAATATTTATATAGGCTATTTGGTATTAAATTTATGCTTGATAACAAGAAGGAAAACAATGTTTTGTATATAAAATCTAAAAAGGTCCTTTTATTTTTCCCAAAATTTTTCGAATGTGAAAGAATTCGTGAACAACAGCGGATTTTATATATTATTCAAGTGTTATCCCTGCAGGTGCAGGTGTCTGCGGGCACGAGTGTGTCAGTGGGTTCCAACAAGCCCTCTAAGGAGCAGTATCGGTCTCACAGTCTACCGCTGGGCGCTCAGCTCGGCGCCGACTGGCTGGTGACGGCGCCCGCCGCGACCACCACACACCACGCTCACGATACATCCGCTACCACCGCCCACCACCCGCGGGTGTGTAGCGAAGACAAATCATTTTTAACAATAATAACCATATTGTTATATAAAGCTAATATATGATATCAGAGTCGTGAGTGCACCCCGGGCGCGATCCGCATGAGGTCCCGCTCGACGTCGGGGGCGGCAGTGGAGGCTGCAGGAGCCGTGGTGGGGTCGTCCGGGACCCCGCGCCGCCAGCCGCCGCCGCTCACCAGCGTCGCCTCTGAACCGACGCTGCCTCAAGCCAGCGTCATGTTGGCGCAGCTGCTCTCCTCCCAACACTGTTAGTATAGGACCTGCCTATCAAATGTCGCCTGCTGGAAATCTATATATCTATATATGTATAATGTCTGCCCTCAGCCCAGAGTCTGTACAAACTGAACAGTGCGGTGGAGGAAACAAGCGGAGGGACCGACCCTATGAAGTCTCCAGTTCTAAAAGGACAGCACTCTCCTATCGGCAGCGATATTATTTCGCCTCATCATGTAAGGATTATGATATCTTGTCCGCGATTATGATATTAATGATAAAACTAATATCTCGTTACACCCCCCACCCCCTCAGACCCGCACCCCCATACCTCAATCTTCACAGATTACGCATCTGAATGCAATAAATCAAAATCAAGATAGGACAAACATATCTCTGTGTTATTTCTTGATTTTTATTTTTTATTTTTTTACACATCATAAACGAGAGTGTAATAAGTGGAATAATTTAAAAAAATTTACCTCAAAAAGATAAGCATTAGAGTCGTAATCTTATCTCCGGGTATTACTGTATTCTAATACTCGATACGTTACATTTGTCGCAATGTTTTCGTCTGGTGTCACGCTCCCGAGCTGTGCCAGACTTCGATCCCCTTATCAGTTAATGTTTAAGTTATAAACGACTGCCACTATCTGTTGTACGCGAGGTTTTCGCACTGATAAGCTACGCCCCTAAGAGAATAGCGAAATCACGTTATCTTATTTATAAATATGAACTCCGCGACACCGTTGGCCCCAGACTGAAAATTTTAATAATTAATAATTTATAATTGGAACCGTCAGGTCAAATTTTATTGTCTTATAATATGTACGTGATGTAAACTTTAATATAGGAACAATTAATTAAAGATATTAACGTTCACAAAATCTATACAATAAGCCACGTGTTAGGTTTAACCTATAAATATACATATTTTTAATGAAATCAGAAACACATATTAGAGCTAATTGTTTAGCTTTAAGGTCAAAGAGAGCTTTATAAAATCTTTTTACGCTATTTTTAATTTACTAAGAATGTTTTTTAACACTTACCGTAACCGTACATATATGCTGTGTGACCCAGTTTATAGTCATTACTTACAAAATTTCTTATAGCTCCCATAGGAACCAGGCATAACATTTGTTTGTTGAATGTTAAGCAGAAAAAATATTATGTTGTTCTGTTTGGACTGCTTAAATATTGTGTTGCTCTGTTTGCAACCACAAAGTCCCCATCGGCGAAGTGGTTGTTTAAAATTAATTTAGCTATGAAATTAAATATATATTTAATTGCATTAAAGTTTTGACTTGTATAATAAAATCCAACACAAACGGCGTTATTTAGAATACAATTTCAAGGAATAAAAGATGTTTTTATTACTATTATTATCCAAATAGTCCACATATATATAGTAAGTTTATTATGTACAGTCGAGGGCGCAGTCCCTGTCCCCGCCGACGTCCCCTTGCTCTGAGAGGGGCGGGTCCCCGCGGGAGCCTCGTCGGACCCACCTACACGCTGAACAGAAGAGACGATACAACATCAAGAACGGCTTCGACACGCTGCAGGCTCTCATACCACACCTCAACACTAACCCCACCGCCAAGGTATAGTATATAATCCGTTAGACTTAAGCTTAGCTTTGCATTTGTCTGAGTGAAAGTAAAAGTAGAGTTAGACAAAAAAGTTTTACTTACTTTTTTCGACGCTACAACCCTTTGTGGGTCTTGGCCTCTTCCACAATAAACTGCCATGCGCGACGATCCTTGGCTGTCCTTCTCCAGTTCGTAAAAGTATTACAAATCAAAAAAATATATTTTAAGTAAGTAATGAAAATTTTGAAAAAACAATACAAATTTTTCTTCACTTGACATTGCGTTTTCATCATTTTTCGTTGCTACCAGTACAAAGGGTGAAGTGAGGAAGGTGCGGGGCGGAGTAAAAGTAGAAAAAACGAAAAATCGAATCGAGAAAAGAACGTTTCATTCAAAAATTTGACATCACACCTACACTATCCATGTGCATTCACACAAATGCAAAGCTCAGCTTAAATCTAATGCACTATAATATATGACACATATAGATACTGATACTGTTATATAGAGCCTTGATGGATATATAACGGATGGAGAATTTATTCGGCATCAGTTTATTACAGTAAAGGAATTTTCAAAATAATAAGAATATCGATTTAAAAAAATTCGTATTTAGAACATCTAATGAAATACGTTTATGAATACGGATGAGTTCTCTTGTTTTTGTCAGGATGTATATTCCATTAATATTAAGTAATATACCATATAAAAGATTTAATTGATTAATACTACAATAGAATTTTTTTTATTCGTTACCAGATAATATAGTCTTCATTTTAATATGCCATAATTAATAGTTCAATCTAACTAAATTTTATATTTATATTTAGAGATAACCGTATACTGAAAAAATATAATTTGATTGGACTTTCAGATAAGTAAAGCGGCCATGTTACAAAAGGGCGCCGAATACATAAAACAGTTGAAGGCGGAGAGGCAACAGATTAAAGAGGAAATGGAGAGTCTTAGACAACAGATAGAATGCTTAAATAATTCTATATCGTAAGTTATGATGATAGTTGAAATGATAAAATTTTATTATAACAGTCCTTGCACTAAATAGTGTTCTAAACCGAATATAAATGATATGAATCTTTTATGTATTTTATCAGCTAATGTTTAGTGTGGGTACATTATCGTGACACGATTAAACTTTATCAATGTCTTGATTTTCCTATCAACACTGACGCCCATTTTTATATATCGTATGTTGTCAAGAAATAACCAATAATTTTTTACCATATTTTCTAATACAATGTTTCTTTTTACTATTTTTTTTGTTTTTCACTCACTTGAAGCACATAGATTACATTTCTCTAATGGGTTAACTAAATGGTTTTTATTATGCTTGTGTAATCTATGTAAATGAAAGATGTTTGTTTTTCTCTAATCTAAATCTCAATTATATGATATATGCAAAAATTTACGATTTTCACTCAAAAATTACATAACAGATTTTAATGTAACTTTACAGTTATGTAGTTTAGATATCAGAATGAGACGTAAGCCGTTATTTATCTCGTAATTTATTAACAGTTGTTTTTGCATGACGTCACGTGACACAATGTGTTTCCAGCTAATTGGTTACCGTATCTCAAAGTATAAAACTTTGAAAGAAATTCACTGTTAAAATTACGACTATTAATATACGATTGGTTTTTGGCGCTTGTCAAAAAAAAAATAGCATTGTAAAAATATCATCGGTTATAAGTAGTCGAAGTTTTAACAGCAAAGTACTTTTCACCTCGTTCTTGGATTGTTTGATATAACCTAAAACATAATTCTCTTATAATATACTTTTCTATACATTTATTTATATATTTCAGTAATTGTCACTCGTTGCTGCCGGCGACCGGAGCGCCCGTGTCCCGAGGTCGCGCCGGTCGTTTGCGAGAAATGTTCGCTTCACACGTGGCCGTACGGACAGCACACAACTGGAAGTATTGGCTCGTATCCTTTGAAAGTTAAAACTATAGTGTTGGAGGGGGGGGGGGGCGGTCTATGTGGAGGGTAGACGCAACGTCAAATGACTATAGAATTTTTACTGAAACATACTTATCGTGCAAACAATTCGTCCGATAGGAATCTTTCATACATAACGTCTGAATGAATTACTATTCACTTTGATGAATACAGATTAAGTGGTATAAATATACGATAAAAATAAACTACTTACATCAAACAGTATTATATAAACTTTTTACAATAAACGTGTCAGTTAATATTAAAGAGGGTGTTGGTCATATGTCATACAGTAATATCCTTAATCCGAGTCCCAGTTCAGCGTAGTGAGCGCGGCGCTGGTGGAGTCGTTCAGTTCGTGCGTGTCGTGCAGCAGCGCGGCGGACCTCGTGCGGACAACGCTGCTGTGGGCGGAGCAGCACTGCTCGCTCGTTGAGATGAGACCCGGTATATATAGACAATAATACTATTAATATGAGGTTCTAGGGATGTTTCTCGAACTTCCGCGTATATTTCTTAAAAGTGTTGTGATGGAAGATTTTTGGAATGTGACTTAGAAAGAATAATGTGTAGGTTGTGATTTATTTCTTCATTTGTCGTAATTCATAACACACATAGTAGCAGCTGTGTGTAGTACAATATTTGTACTGAACCTGTCCTCTATACTATATATTATTTTGTTTATATATATGTTCCAGCGGTTCTTAATTCCCTGCGAGTTCTCTGCACCACCACGGACATCCTCACGAGTCCCGAACGCCTGGCAGAAGAGGCGCGCGCCGCTGCAGCCTCCGCTGCGGTCAAGCGTGAGCCGTCATAACTCCAGTGGCACCACCCACCGCCGACCACAACGTCACCTAGTACTACATTTGTGAATTAAAATACTCGATACGTTCAGTTTTCGGTCGATAAACATCCTCGTACTAGGCACATCGGCTCTCAAACTTTGGTTTTAGCCTAGCTGTCTCTTACAAGTCAGAATTGTTATATTATCATCGTTTCCAAATTACTAAATTCATATACAACATGCATAGACATGTAGGCAACTTATTGGCAGCTCTTTTAAGGAATTAATGTAATCAATTCTCATTTGTATTGGACGTTTCTGTAAAATAATTGATATAAGCATTTTGTACAAGTTGATCCGATGATGATTGTGTCTCGATGTTTTTGAAATTTATTTTTCTTATTAGTAAGCATTTTTATATAGCATTATCATCGGTTATGTCTAAAAGATGTTTAAATATCTCATTATATACGTTTGAAACATTTCTTAAAGTAATATTGATCGTAATTTAAAATAAAATCTGTGAAATGTTTTTAATGATATATGTGAGTCGGACATATCGTATATTTTGTGCCTAAATATATAATAATACTCAAAAAAACATATACATATATGGCGGTGCAGTGGCTTTACTTTTGTGCAATTAATTGGTGTTCACAAAAAAAAAAACTAACGCACAAATTCGTCAAACGCTGTCCGGTCATTGACCTTATTTCTTAATGTTTTTGTATATATACGGAATGTTAAATTTTCAGACCTACAAGCTCAATTTACCATCAACGAATCCACTTGCATTGAAGTGTTACTTTTGTAACATTTGCCTTAAAAGTCGTGCCTTATAGAGATGTTAAATAGTTTTCATATTTCTGCCAAAGACTAAAACATTTGTTGGGTTATTTTATCTGAACGGTGACTTAATCTACACTAGACGATCATCTCGACTCATCCGTGAATACCAATATAGACGTAAGACAAAAAAAAATAAAAGAGAATTTATTAAATATATCAAACACGTCGAGATTTAATTTAGAGATGGAAGTATATTTACGAAAGTAAGTTACTTTAAGTAAATATTTTTATATCGTTTGTGTTTAATACACAATTATTTTTATATAAATTGTATAAATCGGTGCCAACGTAAATATTGTTGTAATTTGTTATGTTATGTATAATTTTATGATTCGTCGACTCGTGCCCGAGAGCAGGTCGTCCTCGACTAAGCTTTAACGAGTTATATCGATTGTTGTTCTATTGGAAATATAGTTTGGAATGATATTTTCACGTGTGTTGTATTATTTTATTTATTGTGCATCATAATTACATTCGTATTTTTCTACAGATGATAGTCAATTGGACAGTCTTTCAAGATCTACATGCTTTGCGTCATAATACATATATTCAGTCTTAGCTCTTTAATGTTACATTAAAGCGTTACTTCTGTCAGTTACGTTACAATAGTAACAGTCATTAAAACATACATATAAATGGTATAGCGATAGTATCAAAAGCTACTAAGTACAGTTTATGAAACTACATAATTTAGTAAAATATATTTTCACCGATTAATATTTTCATCTTAAATATTTAATACAAATTTATATGGTTTTAAAACTATAATTTGTATACATTGGTATGTATGAGGCAACATTGTTATAATATTTTTTATTATTAATACTTGCCATTAAGTTACGTCATTAAATGCTTTGTCAAAATATTTTATCAATAATCTTACATTTTCACGACACTAGCAAAATATTCTGTGCACGTCTTTGCACGGATGATCATATTTAAAACTACTAACCAATCTTACATTTTGTCTCAAATTAAATACGTTTTAGGCTAATATAAATATTATGTATCTTCGATGATTTAATATAGGTGTATTAGTCTATGTTCAGCGGCGTGTAGCCTGGCGAGCGCAGAGGCGGGGGTCGCCAGCAGGTCGTTGACCCTTCCGCGCTCGGACAGACACCCGTCTTGAAGAACGGCGGCGGTGTCGTAGTCACGTACAGAGGACACGCGATGCTGGATACAATTGGAAACAACATAAATAAAATAGCTACACACGACAAGTTACATATAAAGAAAAAATCCTAGATCATATCAGATTTTATCAATAATGCTCTAGTGTTCTCTTCAGTATCGGACTGCTAGACTGAAAATCGTAATTACAAGTTTTCTGTAGGTAAGGTATATTTAATGAAAAATTCCTGAACACGAGCAGGATTTTAACCTGCAAACCTCTAAATATAGAGTTCGTGTTGCTTCGCCGGTTAAACTGGTCACAATCACTGATATAGGTAAGATTAACATACGGCCACGGTGAGGACTGTAGTGTTGGGAGCGACGGCGGCTATAGCGTGTAGGAGACAGCGCTCGGCCGCCGCCTCCAGCGCTGCGCCCGGCTCGTCTAGCAGCAGGGCCGCCGCGAGACGAGCGTGGAGCGCCGCCCGCGCGCCGCACACCCGCGCCCCGCGACCCCCGCCCCACGAGCCGCGCCACCCGCACACACCGCACTCTGTTGAACGAAATACGATTAATAAAGAACGAAATCTTCCAACATGTTTTTTTAATGCTAAGGCTTCATTCGCAATGGAATCCTGGAATATTTTGCAAATGCCAATGTTTTTATATGTTGGACAAATTCAAGCCAATATATTGTTCTATAAGAATGAGGGGGTAGACATTGTATATGGTATAAGTCATTAATTATAATCAATGTATTTTTTTATGTCGATCATTTAGTACATCACCTAAACCAGCGGGTTGAGCTGATATGTAGTCATAGAGACCAACGGCTTTTAAACTCTCCCAAATCTCTTCATCCGTGTGCATTCCGAGCGGATCCAGGTTCTCTCTCAGAGTTCCCGAAAACAAAATAGCTTCTTGTGGCAAGACGACCACTCTGTGTCGTAAGGCACGAAGCGGAACCTTCGTTACATCCCTGCCGTCTAGTAACACCCGACCACCACATATTTTCGTGGCTCCCGCACAAGTTAGAAGTAACGTTGACTTGCCGCTTCCACTCCTTCCGCAAATGGCGACCTTGTAATAGAGAATATTTATTTATTTATTTATTTATTTATTTCCCATCGGCATATAATAGAGAAAAAAAATATATATTAACTTGTGTGATACACCATTACAGGTAATTATTTTACATGATAACAAAAGAACTAAGACATTTGAACAATACTATCCATTAGCTGTTTCAACATAAAACAAACAAAATGCAACAAACACAAAAGCAATGTTAACTAAAACAGTATGTTTAAAAACTATTATTACTTTGGTGTATATAATTGGAAGAGGACTCTGGTCTATTAGCTGTTTAACATAATGAAATAATTGCAATATGGGTTTAGCGTGAGGATTTTTTAACTGTTTTTACGACCGGCCGCCTGCCTGACATCAGTGTATCATGATGTCTAAAACTCTAGATGATAAGTTTGTACTTTCGAACCCGCGCCCTCGTGCGTGAGAGAAATAAGGCCACCCACTGACTATTCCCGAAAAATAATTCAATATGATTGTTTTACGTATAATAATTTATTCCCGAAAGTAATAATAATTAATTTGAAGTAATAACATATTTAAATGTTCGCGAGATATCGTAGCTCTAACATATGAGCCAATTATTGAGCTTGGGAACAGTTATAATGATATAACATGAAAAAATATATATTAATACACTGTTGTTATTACATATTACAACACTGCGTTGAGAGTATGAAGCCATTACTATAGATATTTTTTAAGTAGGTAAAATATATTTTTGTTCGATTTAGTTGTTGTTTAAAAGTTACAATTTATCTACCTTTAATTTAAATCTTTTCAGGTTACTAGTAAAATCGTGTACAGATAATGTCAACTGTCGATGTAAAATATTCCATCAAGTTATCGTTAGATTAGATTTGATTTTTTTCTCTTCCGTTATTTCCGACTCGTTGCTTTCATCAAAACCTCGTCAAAATATAGAAATAAAATAATAAACAACGCCTAGTTGTATATCCAAAAAACTTAGTTTCAATTAAATATGTATAAGCGACAATATTAGACATTGTTTTTAGGTTTTTCTGCATCGTATGATTTTTTTTTGGTACTGGTTATTTCCTTCGAACTTAATTCGAATTTAAATATTTTTTGAAAGAGACATAAATAAGTTTAATTATAAAAAAAATACCTTTTGTCCAGGTTTTATAGTGAGATTAATATTTTTAAGCACTGGAGGTCTATTCGGTTGATGTTGGACACTGACGTCTTCAAATTCAATTTTTCCGTTTCTCTGCCAGCCAGCAGGTATTGGACCTTAAAGAACATTCATCATGATTACCATCGTAAATCATATTTATACAGTGAATGCTTTACAGTACTGTCAATATAAGTGTTAATATACTCACAGTCATCTCTATAATCTTCTTGTGGTATGTTCGTATTGTGTAGGAGTCTCTGTACGGATGCCAGATGTAGGTCGAGGTCGGCGCGACACTTGGCGAGGTGTGCGAGGTACACGGGCAGAAGGAGCGAGTACGTCCCCGCTAACCCTGTCAGAGCACCGTTTTTGCCGCTGTATAGCGCCACCGCTAATGATACAAACACGCTTGCTGCGCCCACTAAGTCCTGGAAAGTAAAAGAGATATTAAAATGTCTATCACACCCATAAAGTATATGTAATTTTTGTAACTTTAATCACAAGTAAAGGTGGTTCGGGTGTTTTTTTTATATTGCTACTATATACTATTCATCGAATACAAGAGTGGTATTAATAAAGTCTTGGAAAATCAGGACTCCAATATGATTTTTCAGTAAATTATACTAAAACTACATATAATTGCGAAAGTTTGTGAGTGTGTGTGTATGTTTGTTACTTCTTCACGCTCAAAAAGCTGAACCGATTTTGATAAAATTTTGTATATCGGAACCTGACGTCCAGGAATACATAGGCTACTTTACATCCCGGAAATCCGCGGGGCGCAGCTAGTATAGCATATTAAAAAGTCATAATATATCAAAATGACATCTACCAGGGACAGGCTTAACCATCTGTTGGCGGAGTTGAGCAGCAGTAGGGCGTTGTGATTTCGGTCTAGTCGTGTGTGGAAGGCTTCCCTCATGTTGTGTTGTAGTCTCGCGGCCCGCACAGCCCCCGCGCCGCCCAGCGTCTCAACGGCAAAGGAGATCGCTCGACCCGCACTGGTCGCCTCTATGTGCTGCAATTCTCTGTTGAGAAATTGATAATGATCCATACACAGCTACACTTACATGTTTTCTATACAGGTATAAATTTAAAATTATTGCAGATGTATTGCAAATTTTTATTATATTCAAAATGAATGAGTATTGTCTTTGACTAAACGATGAAAATTCAAATCATTTATTAGGTACATATCACCGTGTTATGTGTATACTTGTATGTACTGTAAAATCTTGTCGTCAATAATTTGACTGAAATGTTTAAATCAACAAGACTTTAAAGATTATTATTAACATAATTACTTATGTTACGTAGAGATGAACGCTAAATAGGTGATTAATTCTTGATTAATATTACCTGGCGTTTCGTAAATAAACAGACTGTAAAGTCATATAAAATAGAAGAGCGGGAATTAAAGCGAACAACGTCCAGGCTGATATGAACACATTAATGATCACCGCTCCTCCACACAGCAGAGCTATCTGCATCCATCTACTGACAGCCGTCGATAGTTTCTGGGGAAATTAAATATTATTACAATTTTCTTAATCAAACTTTATTATGAAACAATGTAGTTTGATGATATCGAACCTTATCAATAACTAGAGTGTCAGAGGAGAAGCGGTGTAATGCGTCTCCGGCGGGGTGTGTGTGATGATGGTACAGCGGGGCGTGTAGTGTAGCGTGAAGGAGTCTCTCGTGAAGCTTGCGACGGGACTTGCTCCCGCACAGGCACAGGCCACCTGCGCAAACCCGGCGAGTAACACGCCGCCCGCACACCACAGGGAGTAAGTGAGGATCATATCCCACACCTGGAAAACATAACAAACGTGTCTTAAACGTCTTCAAATAAAGTAATGATTAATAGAAACGAAATTTTTATTTTGGACAAGTAGATCTTCTCAGTAATACTTTACTTTTTTAATATAAAAATATCTAAGTGTGAGTAAATAAAAAAAAATTTACACATAGTTCTTATAAAGTCTTATGTACGCTTCGGTTCGTAGGAGGAACTTTTGTATTTTTATAGTACGTACAGGGCAGTCAATCAATGAATGAATGAAATCAATGAATGAATGAATCAATGAATGAAACAAATGAATCAATCCTTGTTAAATGTAATAAATACGCTAAAACATTAAAGTTCATAGAATAAAAAATCGATTCGTTTCAAGCTCGTAAACCTGTTTATCGGATAGAGGGTTCCGGTTATTAGAGTCTGTGAGTCGAGTGAGCCACCAGTCGGCGGTCATCGCTACACCCTGAGTCAACGTCGCCGCCACAACGTACACGGCGCCCCACCACCCACACGCGCGACAATACTGCCACCATACTGCGGACTGAGAAAATATACTATTAAATGTTTTGAATTACGCTACATTAGTGTGTCTGCGACATGATTAAAACAATAAAATATTACAAATGTAATGTATTTTAATGAACACATTCCATAACTTGTATACAATGAGATGTTTTGATGGATTTTGACAATGCTCTGTACTCAAACAATTCAAAAAAATATGATGTTTATTACCAGCTGTAAAGATTATTTGAAGATAAATAATAGGTAACGTTATACAAAATCATGTCTAGATAATTATGAGTTTGTAATACAAGTGTGTTTGTTGTGTGTTATGTGGTTTTACTGGTTACCTCGTGTAGAACAGGTTCTTGTTCTTTATTAGTGAGCGGGAGATCTGGAATGGTGGCGGATGTCTCAATGCCATTACTAGTTACCGAAGTCAACGTCAAGTCGGGGACTTCCACGGGCCCTGATTAACATTACAGTTTCCGTTTCCGTTTACATTTTAATTTATTAACATAATCAACTTATTTTCTTACATATAAAGCTCTTTTGGAATTAATGAATTATAGTAATGGTTTTTACCGTTGTTAGAATTCTGATGACTATGTTGTATTTCCTTATCCGAGTCGGTACTGATGAAGCGACGTAAACTCCACGGAGTCCATCTACAAACAATATATCATCCGTATAGTGTTTGAACTTAACAATTTTCAATCTCATAACATTTTTAACTTGACCGAATTTTGTTAACGTGAAATCTTTACTTGGAACTAACTCAAGAAAAAATGTTATAATTACCGATTTTTATTAAGTGTTCATAGTAAATAAATGTAATTAACTAGTTACCTGCTATAAAGTGTCCTGTAAGGTCGACTCGGTAGTACGCGTCTTATTAAACTTGCTTCTTGCTGCAGAGCCTCATTCGAGGCGTCCACGCTCGCGGCCCGTCTTACGTCTCGTAGCCATCTGTAAATGAGATATAGGTTGCTATTAATGATTAAGTCATATATATCGGCGCTACCAGCTTTAATAACGGATGCGACTTGAAAATAATTAGAGGCTTCCATCAATTCTTATTAAACCTCATTAGTATTTATGATTATTGTTAAAAGTAAAACGAAATCAAAAGAGAATAGAATTATGTTTAAATCAAAAATATGACGTCTGGACTCACGACGGCGGACTCCAGAATTGAGAATTCAGCATTGATAATTCAGAATTCAGTGAGTGTGTATCATTGAAGTAGGTTAATATGAAGAATCTTTGAGAAATACAGGAGTATTAAGAACAATTGCAGTTTCATTTTAAAATATCATCGAATGCTCTAGAAGAAGTGATATTTGTTACGTCAGCGAGGCTGGCGTCCCTCTCTTTTAAAATCAACGAATCTGTATAAATCTGATATCAGAAGTGGGATCGCTCTCGTGATCATGCCGGTCTTATAAATCCTATCCAGCTGAAGAAAATAACCATGTGGAGAACTTGCGTACTGAAGAACGCTAAAAGAGAATTTTTTTCATGCCATTCATTGATGTCAATAATGCAGAGCGTGTGCAAACGTTTACTACAAATAAATCAAGGGATAATATTAAAATTACTAAGAAGATCATTTTTATCATCGTTTGACCCCGGTGGTAGTGTGTGTCTTCGGGAATGGTGTCAACACATCTATATGGCTATAAATACGTAGTAAATCAGGAACCATGATTCTCAAATGAAAATGAAATCTTTAAAAGGAGTGAGCTCAAATATGTGAATACGATTGGTTACAACATTTACGTAAGAAGCCACGTAGTATGGATATTAAGCGGAGATATTATGCGACGATGTGGCGCTATAACTGAGGCAAGACGGGCACGTTCTAACTGAAGGTTGAGGCCATAGCGGGCTTGACCAAATACTAATACACATCCTGAGTTTTCAGATACCAGCTCCTCTCAACAATTAAAAGAACCTGGCGCGCCGAAGGAAATGATTACTCCTAGTTGCTTCAAGTATGGTCAACGAGGCTACTTCGCGCTGCGCTGCCCCAGTGTTGAATTCAAAGCCAATTAAGCATGGACCGAACGATGCGTGAATATCTGTTCCGTCCAGATATGGTTCAGCTCTGGAGTGAAACCGGTGAGAGGTTTTCATGTTGCTTCGACTCGGGTACCGAATGTTCTTTAATGAAATAAAAAAAAAAAAAAATTCTTGAAAGATAGATTTCTAAGTAAAGCGCAATATAATAATACAATTGCATTAGAAAGTGTAAGTAACGCTCGCATTAAATGTTATATCTAAATTCTTTAAACAATTTAAGAGTGATTCAGTAAAGTGAGTTTTCCATGTTGTGAATTCATGTATTTTCAACGACGTTATGATTAGACAGGATCTGCTTACATTAGGGTATTCTATAGGGATTAAAAATAATGTCTCATTCTTAAAACAAACAAGATTGGAACTGAAAAATCATTTGAATAATGTCATAGAGAGAATTAAATAATAAGAATACGGTGTCTGATAGATATCCTTTGCCACTTATTTCGAATCAAAAATGCTTTCATTTCGCCGCGACAACAAACCATTGGTTGAAGGCTAAACAAGATATAGATAACGAAATTAATTTTATTATCACGAAACTAGAGGCAAACTATTTTAATAGTGATATCTTTAAAACTTACGAGATAAGACGCGCTCTTCTTTTTCGGAAATAATGAGAGCTCTATGTTGCCTTTAGTGTGTAGGGAATTTCCGTGAGCTGATCTCGTGTCCATGGTGTATTCTCAAGAGAATCTGTACCATGAGATTCTGTAGGGAAGCCTTGTGGAGCCGTGAGGAGACAAGTATTACACCATAGATCTGGAGAGCGTGACCTCTGAGCTAATCACGAGTTACCCTTAAGCTAACCACGGGTCCTTGATGTATCCGAAAGAGAACCATGAGATTACGTAGGGATGCCTTGTGGAACCGTGAGAAGACAAGTCTACGCCACAGATGTGGAGAGCGTACCTCTGAGCTACTCACGTATTACCCTTGAGCTAACCACAGATCCTTGCTGTATCCTTGAGAATACCATGAGATGACGAAGAGCGGCCTTGGGAAACTATGAGTAAATATGAAGTCACTCAATCTATAAGAAGTTACATGATTTTGATATCAAACAGCCGGCGCCAAGGCTTTATTTATAATCGACTGTAGACATACCCTTCACAGTAATATTAACACGTCGGTCAACACACACAGCAGTGCCACTAAAAAAAACGATGTTATATTTCAAATGATAGCATAATTGACTCTAAATTTCTAATCAAATACACCTATTGCGAGTACAGCTAAGTTTTGTTCCATTTCCATTGCTAACCGAGGTCAAACGTTTCAATCATGTTGTCGACGGGAAAAGGATATCACGCCGAATTTAAATTTAATATCAATTGGTAAATTTAATCTTAATAAAATGCATGATTTCAGGGGTGCGTTATACAAGAATCAATGGCAAATAACATCTCCGGGAATAGAAAACAAATCAGTCAACTATTTGCGAGGATTGAGGCCGGGCTCTATTATTAATATAAATAGTTTTGTGATTACAGGCTTTAGCGTACATCTGACAAATTTAGTATCCTTGCCGATGTTATGAACATACGAATTCAATCCGGCTTTAACAGTTTAGATTACAATTTGACAATCCGTCCGTGGATATCGAAGCAACACATTTAAAAACAGGATGGTCGAGGCGGAGAGAAGATAAAAAGTTGGATTTTAGAGATTTCGAGCTAAAATTTAAATAATTTCAGAATGGAGATTTAATATAAAAAAAATATCACGGAAAAAGTAATAGAAACCGAGGAACACTTTGAAATGTGATTCGTGACCAGCCAGACGAAGTTCCACTGGAGTGACGAGAGAGTATAAGTAAACGAGCAGCAAGGTAGACTGTTCGACTACCTAATAGTTATCCGGTGAGCGTATTTCATTTTGTTCAATTTACTTCATTTCAAACGCATTACATATTTCGTAGATAGAAGTGTGATTTTGAAACACTTACTTTGAGATATATTACTATAAAATTATTAAATTATTATTATTACTATAAAAGATGCCTTTGCCCAAAGCCATGAAGCTTAGATAATTGGACGTGATATTATGACCATCTCAAAGTTGTGTTGTAGTAAACAATGTTACCCATACGATTAAAAAAAAAAAAAAAATTTTTGATATTCATAATTGTAACAATATAAAGTTATCTAGGTGTACTGTGGAAGTACCTAGACTACAAAAGCATTTATCTTTTATCACAGAGCAAACATCAGTATGACCGTATCGGCATGACTTCGGAAGATGAAGCATCAATTCTTGATCCTGTCCCATCTACTTTACGAGACGCGCGACTGGTCCAAGCACATAACGAAAACCAACCAAGAAAGAACACATAACCAGGCAGGTGCAGAGCACGCACCGCCTGTCAGAATGGCCGTATCGGCGCTACCAGCTTTAATAACGGATGCGACTTGAAAATAATTAGAGGCTTCCATCAATTCTTATTAAACCTCATTAGTATTTATGATTATTGTTAAAAGTAAAACGAAATCAAAAGAGAATAGAATTATGTTTAAATCAAAAATATGACGTCTGGACTCACGACGGCGGACTCCAGAATTGAGAATTCAGCATTGATAATTCAGAATTCAGTGAGTGTGTATCATTGAAGTAGGTTAATATGAAGAATCTTTGAGAAATACAGGAGTATTAAGAACAATTGCAGTTTCATTTTAAAATATCATCGAATGCTCTAGAAGAAGTGATATTTGTTACGTCAGCGAGGCTGGCGTCCCTCTCTTTAAAAACAACGAATGTGTAATAAATCTGATATATATATTAAAGATACTAATATACATCCTTGTTTACACGAACAATACTTATGTAAGCTGTGATAATTATTTAAACCTTGTAGTGAATAGTTGTAATTTTATGGTCATTATTATAATTACTTAGCGCGAGGCATATCTGGAGATGGCGTGGAAAACTGTCTCGGTAAAGCAGGTCTGATGCGACTCTTGAGTTGCATCAGACCTGCTTGAGTGTTTCTCCAGCTTCCTCCGGCACATGTTGGAACTTCCGTTAATAGATGTGCGCCCGCCACTTCGTTGATTCCCACCTGCGGCTAAGACAGAGATTATAGAAAGTGTGTGTGCTTTTTGCAATATAATTTATATAATTGTATGAGCTATATTCAATCTTACCATGGATTCCTCAGATATATGCATCTGAAATTGCGTTCGGCTCACGGCGCGCATTAAATGTGATCGTTCTCTAGCGGCCCCACCTGTGGGTCCCTGACTTCCTCGTGATGCCGACTCCCGAGCCTCCGCCGCCAGCTGAGCCCACTGCTTGATAGCACCGTTACACGAAGAGCTCACACGACCACACACACTCACACGGCCGTCCTCCATTACGATTACCTACAATTTTATGATGTTGAGTAAAAACTTAACTTACAAATGAGAGAACACTTGAATATCGGTCATACTAAATCCGCGTAGTGGAGCAGCTCGAGTCTGTTGGTAGCTAGTATGATCGTCCGACCGGCCCGCGCCGCTGGAAGCAGTGCTCTCACTACTAAGTGGCGGGCCAGAGGTACATCTAGGGCTCCCAGAGGCTCGTCTAATACGATGAGCCTCGAGCGGGAATACAAGGCGCGGGCTACACTGAGTCGTACGCGTTGTCCGCCCGACAGAGGCGCCCCAGACATACCCAGTTGTGTGTTATCACCATCTGTAATATTGAGTAAAATATATAATGAGTATAAAATAGAAGCAGTTGACATCAAAACCAGATCGTCACAAAACAATGGAAAGCGTTAATATACCAGGTAAAAGTTGCAGATCTGGCCTCAAACCAGTGGCGCGCATCACCCGGTTGTATCTGATCGCACTCCACGTACCGCCCATCAACACGTTGTCTCGAATAGAACCTTCCAGAAGCCAAGGCGGCTGTCCAGAATACCACATTGAACATTTTCTACAATATGAGATAAAAAATTTAGAAACGCGTACCCAATCCCAATAAACTCTTTATTTAAGTATTACAAGAAACAGGTTTTTGTTACTTTATTTGATAATAAGGTAACATACTCGCTTATTTTAACGTCTCCACGTTCTCGATACATTTCTCCTAAGATGGCCGAAAGTAGCGATGATTTACCCGAACCAGATGATCCAACAACCATGATTAATTTTCCTAAAAAAATATAAATAAAAGGGTCATTAGGTATAGGGTACTCTTTTTGTGGTTGAAAATGAAGTCTGCGTTTAGGAGTAGAGTTAGGTAAATATTTTCAGTTAACCGATTACTAGAACATAAAAGGTAAGTACGAAAATGGAATAAATCCGTTTTTAAGTATGCAAAAATCTTTAAAGTATATTAAATTAATTCATTTTTACCCAATGGAATGTCCAATTCATCTATTTCAAGCCAGGCATTATCTTTCATCCTCCAAGAAAAAGCTGCATTTTTAAAAGAGATCAAAATGTCTTCGCTCTGAATTATCTCTTTATTTTCTTTACTTCTGTCATCCACTTCTTCTTCAAACTCTTCTCTCTCAGATAGAGGATTATCTAAAAAGTCGTCAGTGGTTTTTTCCGAGTGCATGTCATATGAATCACTGTGAATGTTATCATCGGGTACATTAAAAGCCTCCGGAAGTTCCAAGAAGTCTTTAATTCTGTTTGTGCTGACCTGAAGAATATTTTCTTTTATTTACTGGTAGTGTCTCGTTAAAATGAAAAAGCATATTTTAGATTTTTTAAGTAGTTAATGTCTAGTCTTACCATCGCTTGGATTATCATTAATATAGTAACTGGTAATATTAGAAGTGGTATCGTCAATTGGTTGAACAGCACTAATCCAGAAAATACTTTCGTGGCTGTTAAGGTACTGCTGTCTTCAAGGATGTAGTGTGTTGTAAAAGTTACAACGGTTACTAGGACAGCAGAGATTTGTGTCGTGAAGGCTGAAGAAAAACAATAAAAAATTTATGTTTACATTAAATTATATTATACATAAAATATGATATGAATTTCAGTAACGTTTTTATACCTACTTAAAAAACCCCAATATACAGAATCTTTATTAAGAAGTTTCAACTCCACTTCTCGGAACTGTAGTATTTTTTCGTTAAATAAATCCTCCCAAACATACAGTTTTATAACATTTATTCCTTGTAAAATTTCCGATATTTTTGAAACCCTGTGATCTGTGCACTTGGAAATATTTCTTGAATTACAAGCAATTTTCTTCCCGATATAAAATTGTAATGGCGTAACTATCAATAAACTACAAGCAGTGCCTATAATGGCACTCAGTCCTAAACGAGCGTAGAGAAGATACAGTATTACTGATACCTAAAAATAAATATTTATATAATGATATGTCTATTAAAAATCAGATTAAATAATATTAACGAAATGTCTTATAGTTACTAGCCTTTAAGGGTATAGACCATATGTAGTGACAAATCCATACACTCGACATTACATTATAAGTATCTTGTGATATTAAATTCATCAGCAGCCCTGACTGTGTGTTGGCTTCCTGCTCGGGGTTATGCAACAACGGAGTCTCTTCTTCCACTTCGGGATTCACTGACCATGACGCTAATTTCATGCATTTGTCATAGATTACGCTCTGAAATCAATTACACTTTCTAAATAAATATAGGAATGACTTATCCGTCGAGAAGGTTCTCTTTAAAGTACTCACTTGTAAAGCCATTTTTAGTCGAGTACCTTCTACGGTAACCAAATGAGTCGAATTCTGTGATAATAAAGCCTGTACAATAAGTGCTAACGATATAATTAGTAGCATGACGAATCCATTAGAAGTAAATTCGTCAATAGTGACATGCGTATTACTATTGTACGGTGTATTTGGATTTTCTATGTATTGTATTATCACAGCTATCCCTATTGCTGGTACAATGCCTGTAAGATCTCCGAACAGCTTTAAAATACCAGCGATATAAAAATTCGGCCAAACCATGCGAGCGTAACATTCCCAAATATTAAATCCCTTTGTTTTATCTGGTGACATCTGGAATAAAAATTTATATACGTTTAAATCAAAGGAACAAATGACATATATGTTACTTAAAAATTATAAAAATGCAAACCTTTTGTTGGTTGGAATACTTTTTGAATTTATTAAAGTGTACTTTAGAGCGTTCGTCGTCAGGTAGTTCACCAATGTCATTCGTAGCTTCTGGTACATAATAACCTTTACACATAAATAAGTTCAACCAAAAAAATGTTACTTTTGAATAAAAATGTGTTTGTTTATAATTATATATTGCGGTGTCAGGTTCTGTAGTCGATTTTGGACTACATTGATATCTTTTTGACTACCTGAAAATGTAACTCAATTATTGCAAGCATCTCTGATTTATAAATTTTAAATTGTTCCATTTTAATAAAGCTCTGTATAATGAGTATCGTTCACAAATCTACGGGAAGTGAGGCGCCAGACGTGCGTCTTGAGTGTGGCGTCTGTCGTCTCGAACATGACCAATAATTCCTACAGAGTCGGCGACAATTTTAGGGGATTGACCTCTCCGTTTAAGATTCTCAATGCATTACTGCACCACATAGTAAATATAGGAAACATTTGTTTATGACAAAAATAAAATAAAAGTTAATAAAATAATATGATAGATATCGTTATGTACGCAAATGCTATTATAAAGTTTACTATTACAATTTGTATTGCATTTATATATTCGGGGCAAAACAAGTAGGAGATCGATTTCTATATTGAATGGCATGTGTGTGCTCTTTTATCGAGATATGACTCGCATGCTGCTAATTAGCACCATAACAGTTCCCCTCGCGCTAAACATATAAACATTCTCACAATAGAGAGCTAGCTGTTCACTTTCTTTTTATTTAATAATTACGTGCTTACCTCGTCATAGAAACAGATACAGTCTATGACAGCTATTATTGATGTTAATAACATAGAAGCACCATGTATATAGAATTCTATGTTTTTGGAGGCATTTTCAACTTGAACCAGTTGATATAAAATTGAGGCTGATGACGCTGCGGATAGCAACCAATATATTGCTAAATAAAGTATCGGCGCTGAGGAACGCCTAGTCCACAGTGACACGTGGAGTGTCGCGGCTGATAGCCAAGCCAGTGGTGGCATGAGGGCTGCCACGAGGCTCACTGTATCAGCAGGTCTCAATGACGCAGCTGCCCCACCGCAACACCAGATCACACCCAACGCTAGACTCGCTATGCCTCTAACATTTTGATATCTCCAACGAGTTCCGGACCTGAAGGTAATTAATATATTTAAATTCAGCATACATAACACGTACGTTTTATATAAGACATTTTGTTTCTTCCTACCAGTTTGACCGTGACGTTGAACAACAACATATTAATGCTGCAGAGATGACTGTACAGTACAGGATCAGCGAGTGTAACGCTGCAGCCAGAGCGTGGACGTGACACAAACGATCACCGCTCATACAAATTGCATCCATTGTGATACTTGCTCTGTAAAGAAATTATACTTAGTGTGTTAAGAAAGCTTATATGATCTCATTATTATTATCTAATCGTTGTTTACTGTTCTTTGTTGAAGGAGTGCAAAATTATGAGTAGTTAGGTACAAGCTAGAGAGAACTATTTCAATAATGGCCAAAATACAGTCACCAAATTTAAAAAACATAATTACTAGTTTAAATAATTACTAGCTTCTAGTGTTTAAATCTATGGGCAACACCATTTATAGAATCTACTATGTATATTTCCCCTTTTTTCGTAAATATTTTATTAATTTAATATTCTCGTATAATTACTATGACGATCGAGGTTTTTGTTAATTATCTCTCGAACGTATATAAATGTAGCGTCTATTGACAAAATCTGGGAAAGGTAAATTTTAAAGATATTTACAACATTCAAACAACCATATTTTGTTTTCGTTTCACTCTGATGAGTGTGTGGGTGACGTAGGCGTTCAGGTTTTTAGTTATTATGTATCAAAATGTGATATATCAGGACGGGTGACTCATGAACTAAAGGATTAAGAACATGTTACGTACATAATGACGGCGTTTTGTTTGGTTGTATATTAATAATCTTAACTAGTTAACATTCATGTAGGCTAGAACTTGACGCATTTATCTACAATACCCAAGTTGAACAGCTAAGGACTGTTTTTAATTTTAGTAAGTTTGAATCATTCACACCTCAGTTTCTTGGTTTTCAGTTTAACGTAAGCGAGTCTAAAATAAGAATTAGGCTTTATAACCCGTATGAATGTCAATATAATTTTGATCAGTGTTACTCTGTCTGATTCACAAAAAGTTTACCGATTTGGATGCAGATATTTTAAAATAGTAGTTATGTTTTACGAGGAAGGTTTTGGTATATTTTGAGTTTTAACGGTTTTTTTTTACTTGAGACGATAAGGATTGATGAACCTTTTTAGATTCAAAATTTTATTTAATAATTATTATTATTAGTAGTAAATATTATTAGTTTTCTATATAATTACTTTGGTATTAAATCGCTCAGTTAAATCAATATGATGTCATATGTAAGTTAAGGAAATAAATTGTTTTGTGATAAGTCATATTTTGGTTATGAAAAAACCCAAACGCTGCGGTTTGCTACCCACGCCGGAAGTGTGTTCGCATCCTTGCTTACTGTATCTTTTTTTGAACGAACCTCTTTCACAAATCATTGGCCATGTGTTTCGGTTCGAGAGCATGTAATTTAAATACTTCAATCTTAAGATAGCAGTATGTATTATATACAATACCAAGAAACAGGTAAATAAAATGACACTGTAAATTTATGTTAAGTTAAGAAGAAAATTTTAATAATATATATAAACTATCGTATATAAAATATATTGTCCTTCCAAAGAACAGTCGTACATTTCTCTGTTTAAAGAGAATCATAAAAACGATTAATATTCCCAATATATAATCTTCGATCAATTTTAAGTGAACATTAAAACAATCGATACAATAAGAATATATATATTTTAGAAGAAAATTTAAAATGTAATATTTTTTTGTTTAAAAAAATATATAGTATCTGATTTTCTTATCAACTCTTCTAAACCTAAATAAGTCTATTTTGTTTAACCTAGCTCAAGAGGCAAATTTACCTTTACCTACTTTCTAAAGTTTATAAGATACGAACGAACATAAATATCTCAAAGGGACATTTAAATTTATTCGTTTAATTATAATTATTACCTTGACGTATTAATTAATTTATGTTAAAAATGCATTAAGTGCATCCAGAAAAATCTCCGCGACATCCTTTCAGATAAAGGAAAACTGTGAAAATTATGTATGAGATATAAGTATGTGTTTTTTATGGAATTTGTTTGTTATTTTCACCTCACCTGGTGTTCAACAAGTTGGTATTTGTCTCTCTTATACGTTGATGATGTATGAACTGAGGCAAAGTAGAATAACATCCGTGCGAAATAACTGACGGTCGCCGTGTTTATAACTAACACTGTATTTAACAAATAACAATCACGAATATAAAATGATCATTAACTTTAGTAACGTACCTATCACGTTCTACAAAAATGTTAAAATGCAAATCACTTTATAATACAAGTCGGTAGAATTCACTTCACGTTCGGTTTCACTATTCTTATATTTATTTATAATACAGCCCTGCTATTCTCTATTGTATTTGGTGTCATTATATTGAATATAATGGTGTGATGATCGCATAATGTTATTCAACGTTTATATATTTGATATCGAAAGATCGCACGCGCGTCGTAACACCGGAGCGACGTCTACACCCCACGGACATACTCGTTGTACTAAAATGAAAAATCTGAATTGCGAACACACTCGTGAACGTATAGCGGTCGCAGTCCTCTAAACACGGTTAAATTTTTGCAACCTTGCCACTATCTGCGGTTGCTCTGCTAGAATCATTAATGTGTATGTTGCTGTGACATTCATATAACATATTAGATACATAGAAAAAAGGCTTGTTTTACTATTTATTGTAATAGTAATAAATTATCGCTAGTTACCCGTGCACGCCGGTGGCCGTGGCGGGTCTGGGTACGAGGTCGGTCTGCAAGTTGCAACCTACATTTTTACCTATAAATACACTACTTCTATGGCATTCATTTATTATTTATAGTATATGTAAGGCTTTCACATGCCATTATCAACCAAGTATAACATAAGGGTCGATTTCACCAGACGCTAATAAATGTCAAACAGCAATAGATCTTTCAAATATACATATTTTGCTTTCAATTTTCTTTTATATTATGTAAATATGAATTTCGTTAGAGTATTATATTACAAATATATTGATGATTTCTTGTCATGTAAATTAGGTAGTGAAAAAGAGAAAAACAGGGGTAACCATTATTTTTAAATATACTTAAATGTCAGATGACAAGTATTTATACTTAATACTTATAAAATTATAAATAACAAGACAGAGAGCATTACTCACATCATTTAGTTTTTTATTTTGACTGTAGTAAAATAAGTACATAAAAAATTACAAAATATCAAAAGTATAAGAGTTTCTTTACTTATAGTACAGCACATGGTATTAAAACTTAACACAATACCCCGATATATTGCTTGTTAAAAATAAAAGAACACTAGAAATTAACGTCCCATCCCGAGGTCTCGTCGGGCGGTAACTTGTCTTTAGGATATTTCTCGAAGTTTGAAAGATCCAGATCATTAGATACAGGTTGTATTAGCGGCGCCTTCAGTTTACCCTCACGAAGACCTTCCCAGTTAAAACCAAGGAACCATCTGAGAAAAATGAATTTCAGTATTTTTTATAAAGAATTAAAAGTAATATCTAATATACTAAGAACATATTCTAATACTTAAGAATATCATGATCAAAAAACATAGCGGAAAAATATCTTCTCAGTTATTAATCGAGGTTCGAAATAATTGTACATTGGATTCAAGCACACGCAATCACGGCACCTTATTTAAACTGCTATTAATCACAGATTGCATTTAAAAATACTGTAATAATATGATTACAGTAATAAATTTATAGTTCCTCGTAAAGCAATGTTGTTATGAACGCTTTCCGTTTTCGTTCGTGCCATGATATTACGTAGGATTGATGATTAAAAAAATCGTAGTACGGTCAGAATCTAGGTTAATGTCAATAAAACTAGCATAAGTAATACATAGTTCATACTTATGTGACTTAATATCTGCGATGCCATTCTTGAGGTAGCCGAGTCTCTCAGCGGGTACTGCACGGCATAGCTTGCGGATAAGCAGCTGTGCTGACTTCGGTACCCGGGGATGGAAGGTGACGGCGTCGATTCCTCTCAGGATGAGGGTGTAGGTCTTCATGTGGTCTCCGCCAGCGGCTCGGAATGGAGGCTTGCCAACTAGAAGTTCGTGAATGAAGACGCCCAACGCCCAACAGTCTACAGCACGATCGTGACCCTTAAAACAATTGTATGAATTTACTTTCTCCACACTCGGTTTGAAGTAGCATCTGATATCTGTGATTGAGACTGTGACTTTCTTTTTTTTATTATTATAAAGGTGGTAAACGAACTGACATTCTAATTGATGGAAGGAAAATCACCGTCGCTAAAGAATGACTGTAACGTAAGGGATGTTGTGGATGCGTTTCAACCTTGATTGTGGAAGAGATAGAGGAAAGGATGGGAAAATGGAAAGAGCAACCAGCTCTCACATTCATCGGACGAAAAGCAGTCATTAAACGCTACTTAACGTCGACCTTTTGTGAGATCTTGTGATACGTTCCCAGTCGAGAGAAGTACGAACTGTAGTAACTTGACAAAGCTAGGCTCTAAAACCTCCAAAAATGATAATTTCAATAAATAAATTAATGCTCTACAACAGAACTACAGTAAAAATTGGTTGAAAACTTAAAAGTATTCATTATGGTTCATGAATACAGACTGTGATGTTTTTATGAAATCATTTTTTTTATATTGATGTAATTTTAAATGTATAACATTATATGTGTTATATTATAATAAAATTTAGAAAAAACATATATAATTAAAATACCTTATTTAAAACAATTTCTGGTGCCACATATTCCGGTGTGCCAGCAAAAGTCCAAGTCTTTGAGTTTGGTGAAAGTCTTTTTGCAAAACCGAAATCGACCTAAAATAATAAAATTTATTTATAAAAAGAAATCAATATTCCTGAGAAAAAATAAAGCGATATATATAGTCATAGTCATATGAGTCATAGTCACTTGAAATAAAAAAGTTATTATTATTATTATTATTATTATTATATAATTGCTCTAGTTATCTTAAGTTGAAACACACCAATTTAATGTATCCGGATTTATCTAGCATCAAGTTTCTGGTTTAAGATCTCTGTATATAATATCTTTGGAGTGCAGATACTGGAAAGCCTCGACCACACAAGCGGCCATGAAACGAGCGATGTTCTCCGGGAAATATCTCTGTTTCTGAAGGATTGTCCACACGTCACCACCCAACACAGGCTCCATTAAGAAGTAGATGTATTTATTGTCTTTGAACGTGCGATATAATCTGTGGAAAAGATTTTTTTTTTATTACCTCCATGTAGAAAAATATTCAGGCAGTTTTTTTTATAACATCGTTTTAGTAGAATTTGTAAAACCTCTACGATTTTATTATTTTTTAATGTTGATATTGGCACGCATGAAGAACTTAATCAAGTAAGCATTGGTCGTAAATGCTTTACATCCATTTGTGAAATAGCTGATACTCTCACACTGTTGGACCGATTTTAAACAAACATAGCTAAGAACTAGCACAAGGAACTGGCCTTCAAATGAAATAAACCGATGCATCGCCGATGATGCATGCATAAATAAACGATTTCGATGCAACAGTCCATCCGTTTGAGAGATATCATGTCACAGAACGACAGACAGACAGACACGCACAGAAATAGTCGCTGCAATTAGTCCGGGAGGCAGCGGCTATTTTGGTTAGTGTTTTTATGCCGATCTTTACTTCACAATACTAGTGAAGAAGCTCTTTCTAATAACGAAAGTGAAGGTCAGCTGACGCACCAGCGGGGGCGTTTGCTATGAGACCCCATAGAACACGTCAAAAAAAATAAATCTAAAAAGTATTTTATTCCACATGAAATTTTTTTCACGTGTTATTGACATTGATTACAATTAAAAGAAAGTAGTCAGCTGCACGACTAAGGGTGGATTATGCGTCAGCTGAGCGTGCGAACTAGCCAAAAATAAAATAAAATAAAATTATTTTATGCCGATTGAATTTTTTTTACATGATTTTAGACATTTACAGAAACTTGATATTGATAATCAGCTGCATATATAGTGGGGGAAAACACGTCAGCTAGAGCAGGAATGTATGACTCGCGGAATTTTCAATGCTCCGACTGACGCCTTTTTCCCCAACGGACAATCAGCTGACGAATATTTTCTTGTATCTATATATTAACACTATAATATTTATACATTCCATGTCGTCTTTTAACAATTTACCCAAGATTTCACTGTTCACTGCGAATAGTGCTGACACTGTAATAATTGCCTTTGATAGATATATATTTCCATCGATAAAAGACAACGAACACTCATTAAGAAAAAGAACCAAAGGACAGCGTTTTCATATAAATGGACCTGATCAAATACGACCATCAAATTTCGCGGACGCATTGAAAAATATCTACTTCAAAGAAGCACTCGTTGAGTTCATTATTGATGACTGGGCGAACGAGTATATGGCACCATTCATCGGCAGCAAAACAATATTGGTCAACTACCTACAATGCTATCAATATAAAGTATGTGAAGGCAAAGTGCAAAGAACACCAGAGTTATCGTTGGCATGCCCAGGTCACGAAGAAGCTGACACCAAAATTGTTTTTCACGTTTGTCACTTGACTTCTGATGCTCACGTTACTATTCGCTGTTCAGATACAGATATTTTAATAATTATGTTGGCAAACATGAATTCTATACAGACCGATTTGCAAATCTCGATGCACGTTGGGACCGGAAACAATCAAAAGTTTATAAATGTCACCAAATTGTCTCAAACGTTGGGTCTAGATTTGTGTTCAGCATTGCCAGCATTTCATGCCATGACGGGCTGTGATTTCAATTCTGCTTTTTACAGAAAAGGGAAGAGAAAACCGTTTCAAATTCTTCGAAAATCTCCAACTTACATTAAAGCATTGTGTGACATTTCCAATTTACCGAATTGTAATCTGGATCAATTGTTTGCAACACTGGAAGAATATGTATGCAGATTATATGCGTTTACGAGAGTCAATGATATAAATGTTGCTCGTGTGATGACGTTCACCAAATCATATGGCAATAACGATGACTGCAATCCATTGAATTCGCAAAAAAGAATCGATGGTTCGTTGTTCCCGCCCTGTAAAGATGAACTGCAACAACATTTTCTTCGAACGGCATATATCGCCCACCTTTGGAGCCATGCTCACCGTGCCTTGCCAACTGACCTGTTGCCAACTGAGTATGGATGGGAAGAATCTGAAGAAAAATATTAATTTAAATGGGTTACGGGTGAGTAATTGCCGCTATCCATCACTAGCATCACTAATCTCGACATAAACCCACATGGTATTGAAAAAAATATCTTCTTTTGATTTCTGGCAAATAATATTTACTTAAATGATTTTGTTAATTAATTGATTGATATTTTTACAGAGGACGACGAAACCGAGAACGATGGAGTGTGTGACATAAGCATCGATAATTGTGATGACGACAGTGATGCAAAGGAAGATGATTCATAAAAAAATATTTCTTTGATTTATATTAAGATTTTTATGTTAATTTTAATAAAAATAATCGAATAAAATTACGTTTCAATTAATCCGAATATAACAAACTAATAGAAATCATATTAATGTTGTTACCGCTTCACTCCTATGAATCTTGGGTAAATTGTTAAAAGACGACATGGAATGTATAAATATTATAGTGTTAATATATAGATACAAGAAAATATTCGTCAGCTGATTGTCCGTTGGGGAAAAAGGCGTCAGTCGGAGCATTGAAAATTCCGCGAGTCATACATTCCTGCTCTAGCTGACGTGTTTTCCCCCACTATATATGCAGCTGATTATCAATATCAAGTTTCTGTAAATGTCTAAAATCATGTAAAAAAAATTCAATCGGCATAAAATAATTTTATTTTATTTTATTTTTGGCTAGTTCGCACGCTCAGCTGACGCATAATCCACCCTTAGTCGTGCAGCTGACTACTTTTTTTTAATTGTAATCAATGTCAATAACACGTGAAAAAAAATTCATGTGGAATAAAATACTTTTCAGATTTTTATTTTTTAACGTATTCCGCAGCTTCCCAATCTCGCATCCACCGCAACTGGACCAGCTGACGATCGATTTCGTCATAAGAGACATGCATTCTGTTTTCTATATTAACATCAGCCGGCATAAAATGACTTGTTTAAAAAGCCGCTGCCTCCCGGACTAAATATAGTTTTTTCATTAATTTGTCCACGATAAAAATTAATCCAGGATGAGTTTTAGCTGGTCAGGCAAATCAAAATAAAATTTTTCGAAATTTATAAAATGCGCTTTTCTATAAACCAAACAAATATAATATGAAGTTCAAGTGAAAAAGAATTCCTTGTCTGGCACCCATTTTATTCGTAGATTTCTATGTTAAAAGTAGCGAGTAACTTATAAATATTTAATGTTAACTTTTTAAAATATACTTGTAGTATAAAAATACCATATAACTTATAAATAATCATTATTTTTTTTAATTTGAAATTAAATCATTCAAAATATTTAGTTCTTGTCCAAATTAAAAAAATATACTGATTTCAAATTATTAAACTAACCGTGATCTTGGTCTTTGTATTGGTATTACAGTTTTTCAACGACAAAACTAAGTTTGAAATTCTATAAAGTTAACTTTACGTTACATATAGAAATGTATTAAACATTTCTTTTATACGGTATGGTAAGACCAACGCGTATGGTATTTAGATCAATGTCGCATAGAATTCTAAGTTTGAATTACTTTTTTATTGAAATAGTAAGATTTTGCTACTTTTCTGACCGCATAGGAAATTGGTGGTATACAGAATAATTTTCAAAGCTTTTTCTTTAGTTTAAGTTTAAAAAATGTTATACAGTAGAAGTCAGACAAGTTATGTAGCCTAAAATGGAAAATGGTGTAGATTGTAGTAGTGAGTTTTTGAATAATCAAAGGACAAACGCACCGACAAATAAATCTGCTGTTGCATATCATCATAATATTTTTTTCATTAAAAGCATGCTCCTGCTGCTGTTGTTGGACCATGTCGACTTTCTTCAGACATTTCAGAGCGAATGTGCGTTCAGGTTGTTTTTTATATTGGACGAGTTCCACACGCCCGAACCCACCCACACCCATAGTACCGACAATCTCGAGGTCCTTCAATTCGACATATTCAAATTCTGAAACATTTTACATTACATGTTTTAGTTATAAAGAAGCGTAATAATTTAGCCAACAAATAATAAAAATAGCCAACCAAAAAAATTATTATTATAAAAAAAGTTGAATTTATTATTAGTTGAAATGGATCCTTTTAGTTTCAATTCAATGCATTGTTATAAATATGTATATCCTATAAAGAATCATTCAGAGATTGGTAAATAATGGTGACATGCAACTTTGAAATTATTTTTAGACGATAAATAAAGTATTAACAAATAAAAAGATAATAAATATACATATATGGAAACCGGATTTTGTTTAATCCGTTTGACCAAAAACAAAATATAAATAAGGAATTAATTTAAATGATTTGTTTCGATACAGTCGTAAAATATATTATTCGAAAGCTAATATATATTTGATTATCAAGATCGTTAGTTGTAATTTCATGACTCATTCATTATAATCTTATCATTTTCAATAATTACAATCACATTCACAAAATTATTTTGAAATTTTATTCATACCACTGCGTATAATTGATGATTTCTTTTGTTGGGATGGTCTTGGATCCGCATGTCTAACATTTTTCAACTCCTCTAGATTTCCTAACAGCTCGGTGAAGGGTCTGAAATGTTATTTTGTTCTTATTGAAAACAGTCTAATATAGATGAAGATTGTGTTCACGTTTTATGTACCCGCGTTCTAGGGTTAGACATTCGACTCCAGGCGGCATTGCGGTGACGGTGGCTAAGCGTCGGTCTTCATGCAGGAGGGCCTGTTCACCGAAGTACTGACCTCGGCCCAATGACCCTACGCGTCTATCACCTCCGTCCTCTTCACGTTTCGATACCACCACAGTACCACCTCGGATAATATAAAATTTGTCTCCGCGATCCCCTTGCCTCACAACTGCCGTACCAGCAGAGAAAAACTCCTGCCACAACAATGTTAGCTTCAGTTTTATCATCTTCATGGCTCAGTACGTGACTTGAAACTGAACAAATTTTATTACTATATCTGCAAATAGTGGTTTTGGACTGCTTCCATATTATCAATTACTGTAATTTATTGATTGCATACAGTATAAAAGCATCAAATACGTATTGATGGTCAAACAATAATTAATAGAACATTGATATAGTACATTGTTTTATATTTATAAACAAACCCTTTTTAGGAAGTCAGCAATCTTTGCTAATTCAATAGGATGAATGCCCTGTAACAGCGGCACTGATGACAAAAACCGAATGTTATCTTCCTGTTCTTGCCTCCCGCTCCGAACCATAATTTTTTGAAAAACTCGTCGCTCCAAGGTCCATACTTTTGCTTCTGTTATACCTACAGGAGGATAGGAAATTTAACAAATGATACTAACAGGTAAACCAGAAATATAATGACATATTTATCTTAGAATATAAAATTAATGCATAGATATATTACGAGTTTAAAAAATATATTATATAATTACAGTTAATTAAGATTGTTATCGTTGATAAGGGTCAAAATTATTGTGATATTTAAAATTTTATTTTATTCAATAGCTTTCGGAGATAGTACAATATTTTTTGTGTGTTTTTTTTGTAATATATTAACGATTCCGAAATCGCAATCTAAATTTCTAAAAGGATTATCATATATGAATTATAAGGATTAATAAAATTTTATAAAAAGGTTAATCTCGCTTTGTTGCTAGTTTTGAAGATAATTATGTCGATCGACTGTCTTTTATCAAATGTTACTCTCGAGCTGGTACCTAATCAAAAATTTGTACTGTTTTAAGAACCATTACTTTACGTAATGTAAATGAAGTCGAAATATGATAAAAGTATTGTTCAAAAGATCAATTAAGTTTACGTTCGTTGATGCATCTTCTCTTGTTATTTAAATTAAGTGAATTCTCTCCATTAATATCTTATACAGGTAACTGAGTAAGCATTACTTTTTCTTATGTATAGTAATTATACATATGTGATAATTTTTAATCATAAATTAAACAATATAATCATTAAAGAATCAACTAGTTGTCTTCTTTGGTTCAGTTATTTCAATGTTGAGTACTCAATTGTGAAAAGAAATCTGATATTATTACTTACACCTAATCGATGCAAATCTTTTCGCCTTGTATAATATGGCTAGTTCACCGAACGCTTCCCCTGGTCCGAAGTTTTTAACCACTTGACCTCCTTTCAATACTTCAAAACGACCATATGCTGATACAAAGAGATGACTTCCACTTTCTCCTTCACGTATCATGAGACTACCAGCTGGGTACTCCTGGGAATTCATAGCTTCCACTACTGCCGTAAGACGATCCTCGTCCATGATATTTTTCAAGAAGTCATTAGCCATGATGGCTTTTTTAATTTGTTCTGCTGATCTGAAGAGAATTATTATATGAGATACACTGTTATGTAGCATTATGAACATTTTTAAATATTGCTCAAATTACATTAAGAATGCTTCTAAAAAATGATGGACTAAGTAGATACAACGTTAGAAAACAAAGTAATAAGATAAAATATTATTTAATTAGAAGAATGAGATTGATATATGGAAGCAGATTTTTCATTTAGGTTTATTAAATGAACATAGATAAGTATCTAAATGCTTACTAACTTTTCGTCCTTTGCATATTTCTCGTAACTTAAATCTGTTTGTATTTTTCCGTTATCGATCGGTGGAGCAATAATTCCTCTCTTCCTACGACTTCGCATATCAGGATTAGTTTGCATCAAGTCTGAAATTGTTTTTCTTCCCACACTGCTTTTCCGTTCATCGACATTTTCACTGTCTGAATCTCTGATGTTACTGTTACTGCCGCTAGACTTTTCACTCTGTATGCTCATGTAACTTGATTTCTTACTAGAAATTCCAGGGTCCACCGATAAAGTGAGACTCTTTTTTAATATGACGGCATTTCCATTTGTGGTACTGGTTTCATCGCGACTGTTCTCAGGTAGAAATTCAGGTAATTGCTGTAAGAGAAAGTGTAGGAAATCATATTAATTTCTATGTGATTTATTTTAAAACAATTATCGTAATTTATTAAATTTAGTACTAAAATTCCTAAAATGTTGTAGAGAAAGGCATGTATTAGAAACACTTTTTTTTAAGTAAAATGAAGTTGAGACCTGCCGTTCATTTAAATATTGCTTGATTCTTGTATCACAAAGTACGATTTAAATTCATTAATATACAAATTTTACCAATAACGTCATAAGGGGTTCCTCTGGCGTAACTTCAACTTTTCTTTCTTTTTTATGAATCAGGGAATTGGAAATCATTGATTTATTTTTATTTGATTTTTTATCCTTTTCTATTTTTGTCCCTTTTATTAAGTTAGAATTAAGATACCGTTTTGTTCAAGTGACCTTTGTAACTCACCTCTACTAAATAATCATTACACCTAAATCTCAGTTTGTTTTAAAAAATGAAGAAAAAAAAATATTTTTAACATTTTAAATACACTATTTAATACGTCTACTTATTTATTTGTTACATTTAAATAATTATTAATAGGATGGGAGTGTTCAGGTATTACGTAACGCAATTTTTGAAAACTTTTGACAAATCCTCCTCTCCTTATAACGCACCGTTACGTTTTTCTGTATCCCCCTCCTACCCTCTCTAAACTTTACAGGTAACACTCAAGTGACCATTTTTACTCTAAAGTGCCAAAAAGATAGTTTCACAATATTCTGAAATATTATTAGTAACGACGGTATGTTTCAACACTCTTGTGAGCTGTAAAATTGATCCAAAAGGTATTATGGATAGGTTTTTTTCTGTAGGTTGGATTGCACAGATATACAAATGAATTTGTAAGGTACCCGCTTAAACCCTTCTAGATTAGGTGACAGATCAACGGACAACACAATCTTTTAATTCCTCGACAAATACTATATCTATGTATGTATAATACAAATATAATACTATCGAAGACTTCCCCTTTAAAACGATTAGGTAATTTCGATGAGCTAATTTTTTTCATAAAAAATGTGTTACGTAACGTGCTCTAAGAAAGCCCTTACAGTAACCTACTTTAATAAATATAAATTAAAGTTTTGCTCAATTTGTCACATAACTGGTGTGTTTAGCATACAAGCTAAGTTAATTTTTTATTATTTCTTATACCTATTCCTACTTTCGTAATAAAAAAGCAAAATAAGAATTTTTTAAATCGAGTAGCATCTAAGTCTTTTCAATAGATATACTTAATTAATGTTAAAATTATTTAATTGTAACTTTAATAAACAAAATTATTGATAACTTTCCTCAAGTTTAGTTTCGCAGGAAAAATAGAATTGTTTTGGAACTAACCAAATATCTCGTATTTTACAAATCTTATGATAAAATAAAGTTTTAATTAGGTACTATGTATAATGACCATTTTCACAAAGAGTAATGTGAAATAACATTTTAAAATTAGTACCGCATTATGATAATTACTTTCATTTATAAAGATCATCAATGGTAACGAATGAAGGTCAAATTATGTAGGAAGATAAATATATAAATGTTAGAATTTATACAGGGTGACTGGTGAATTACTATCGATACTTGAGGACGTGATATTTGACGATCATATATGACAGAATAAAAATTAATATAACATAAATATTAATAAACTTCTAAGTTAACCAAAAGTTATGTAATTAATTACGCATCGTGTGAACACCCTACAGATTAGGTATACACACACACACATACGTGTGCGGCGGCGTAGTGTTGTATCAGCACGCCGCCGCACGCGTCCACACTTGGAACACTTGGAACGTGTCAACACTTTATTTATTTATACGGAAATTTTGTCAAAAATTAACTACCTATTTTTTTTACATAATTCGAATGAGAATCATGTACCGAGTATTCTCCTTAAATATTGATAGTAATTCGCCAGTCACCCTGTATACAGTTTGTAACGTAGTTTACCAAAATACGAGTACACTTCTAGACCACAAAGGGTTTGGAAAACCATGACTTTACATTTATGATATTATAAATTATATTTTTCATTTCATGGATTGAACTGTCATTATTTTGGTTCCATATATCTTATGTTGATGAGATACCAGTTCTGATGTACATTGAGATATTTTAATTAAAAACAGCATCCGTAGCACGTGCTTGAGTCATACATTTTCGCACATGATCAATGTGGGTTGATGACTGAAAATGTTTGTAAGTACTTTGACGATGTAAACTCAAGGTAAAATGTATAGTACACCCTAACACCAAGTTTACTTACTCCAACTAAATAAAGAGCGTTTCCAAACTTTCATTTAGATACCCATTTCGATACTATTTTGTGCGAAAAATTAAAAACTTGAGCCTCCGTATGTAACTTGACAATAGCAACCATTGTACCTAAAGTTAATTTCATTCTTATTTGAGTGTATTAACCTGTTATTCTATTATTTTTCATAGCATTGCGTCACTGCTTTTCTTCTTACGGGTATAATACAAAAAATAATATAAAAATATATAATGCATTGCACATGCAATTATCTAGAACACTTTTTATTAATTGCCCAAATTTGCATCAACATTCTTCATCATCATCACAGACACCTACTTTAGTACCTACCTAATACGAGAGAAGATGAGGTATATGAATGATAAACGCTGTCGATGTACTAACAATAAGGATAAAATTTACCTAGGCCTTTTTTCAGAATTAAATTACGCTTTTGGCATAAAATCTCTACAAATTTTAATACTGAATATAATACGTTTATATTTTCGATATTTTTTCCAAAAGCGACAAAACTTTTTTATGTTTAGTGAGTTATAAGTCCAATAATGTTAAATTATCACGGAATTGTTTTGATTCAAAACAAAATGTTAACATAGTCATATTTCTTAAAACATATTAAGTAATTACTATATTAACAGAGAAAAGTTACATATTAAGTACCTAATATAAGTTAACAAGTAGAGAAAAACAATGTCACTAGATGACGTAGAAATGTTTATAAATCAATTAGACAGGAGAGGAATGGAATTAGATATAGATCATATTGCTGAAGGTCTTTGAAGACATTACATACAATGACTTGGTTGTGTGTAGATAGCATCTAGGAGATTAAGATATGAAAATCAAAAACGTATACCATTTGTCTATTATACTGCAGTCCTATCAGACATATGTGCAATTTCTATAACTCATGCTTTTATTTAAAACATATATAGAATACTTTAAATTAAAACAATATTCTCATCGACTTTCAACTCGTCAAAAACCGTTTTACGTAAGCGATTATATGTTTAAAATATTTATTTATAAAAAACATTAGTGATATAAAATAAATCAATTCGATTCTCTGATACAATAAAATATATGGCATCGATTATCATAACTCATTTATGTAATTATAGAATAAATATTTATTTCAACTTAAAATATATATAAGTAGCTCACAACTATAGTTTCTCTTCGTTCCTCGGGGCTCGTTCTCTTGACGGGAGTGGTCAAATTGAAACCACCCTTGGACGACCATCGGAAAGGCGGACACAGCACCATTTTAACTCTAATATATAACAACAATCATAAATAGTTCAAGATGCAACATGCATTATAACAATGAACGCGCACGTCGAAGTGTAAGCGGTGCAAAACAAGACTGCTTAATCGACACACAAGGAGCCCTTATCGCATTTTCTAGATAATCTGCTTCACCGATTGTTTTAATTATTCCGTACTGAAGAATTATTATTATATCAAAGAACCTTGCAATCTTATCGTCGTCACTATCATCCCGCCAAATCAAAACTATTAACAATAAGTCGTTCTTTAGCAATTATACAGCTCTGTGACGAATCATCGCATGTTATTATTATTATTTATATATATCAAGTGAAGTGATTTTCACTTTTATTCTCATAGGATTGGTCGCTAGGATCGTGTGTAGGGTATTCCCGTACAACGGTGCACATAAAATAAAACAATGTATCAATTCATACTATAATTTATTAATAACGTAAATGAGTACACAATGCCAAAGGCTTTAAATGATTCACTTCATTCAACATTTTTTTTTGTTTTGAAAAAATAATATATTTACAATAGATGGAACAAATCAACTCTGCAATCTATGACAAAATTGTCACACGAAAAGAATTTCATTTAGTTTATCACAAATCGCATGAGAAATGGTCGCTGTGCACTCGGCTCGAAACTAAAACGGCACAACGGCCAGCTCTGGACGTCCGTGCTATAATAAAATGTGCATCGATTCTATAAAATGTGCCAAACGGAAGACATTCATTTAGTTATAACAAAGATAGGTATTAGGTATATTAAAAAATTTTTGAACATTTTCATTTTTAACATTACATACAACGCACAGATACGGAAATTGAGCACGGTCATATTAGTATCTAAACAGCTCCAGTCTACGTAACGCACGCCCGACGACCGCAGGGTGACGACCAGCCGACGATGACCTCTCGTTACTACGTCCGACTTAAAGCACAACAAAGGAAGCGACCTCTATGCGTTATAGATACCATAAGCTAATATGCGCTACGTACACCGGTCACTTGTCACTAGTCCACAGACGTCCGAGTATCTTTTTCGTTAGACAGTCGGACAGTCGCTACACTAACTGTACATAGTACGTCGTCGACGAGTGCAATAGACGAACGAGTGATACTTATTAAATCGCTATGTCAACAATACAATATAAACCTGAGGTTACAAATATTTAGCACAATACGCCGATAACGAGTGACGAGGGATATGACTCGACAACACACAATACAACAACACTGACACCGGGGTCGTGCTAGGGTGGCCGCGGTTGTTCGTGCACAGCGGTGCGATATCGACGGTTCCGATACCATTTAAAGTCTCATAAAAAACGAGAAACAATTGTTGATACAAAATACATAATAATATACCTTAAATATAACGATTATTATATTTATAATACATTGATCTTGATGTTATTTTATTTCCATAACCTTATTGTAGCACACTAACCATTTTGTCAGATATGTTATTTAAATTCAGATTTTTCTCCAAGTAATAACAACGATTTGGCTTAGATTATGAAACATCTACAATCTAAAATAATTCATTTCGTATATTTCGATTTATGGTTTAATTTCATCAAAAATCTACAAGTTCGATATAAAAAAAAAATTATATATAATATATAAATCGACAACGATCGAGATGATTAAAACGAAAAGAGATAAGATGTGACGTGTGTGCTCCGGTCAGTCGGCGGGCTCGTGTGGAGAGAGCTCAGTAGTCAGTGATCAGAGACGGTACTTATATAACTAGACCCGCCGGAGTAAGGGCGGAGCACGCACGACGGACACCACTTATAATAATAATTAAAAACTAATCACAAACATTCCTGACGTTGTTTATTTCACCAAAATTATAAAAAAAATCATAATCGTCGATGAGAATCACATGTACTTCTTTAACTGTACTTAGTTATAAATTTGCATTAAAAAAATCACTTTAAAATAATAATAATAAAAAAAATAATGGCGACAAAAGTAAATACCTTAAAATTACACATTCACACATGAGTATTTAGCAATAAAGCACAATATTGTTCGAAGCTGCAACATGACTACCGTAACGTTTTATAATAATAATAATAATTAACCTATAACATAAAGCCAGTGGCACTACCGGGCGAGCGACGTTACCAAAAAACAATATTACAGGCGATCAGTTAATATGACACGAAAAAACTCTACTCATAATAATAAACCTACTTTAAGATCCAAATTCATATTGAACAGCATTGAACAGTATCCCGTTACTACCGTGAAACGATCAGGAGCAAAGCGTGAGCACCTTTATAAATGTATATTTGTGCGCGTATGGACTAGAAATACTAAAATAATGTATTGTTCATATCGAGTTGCCATCAGTACCGGCTCAACAGAATCTACTCACAGACCACTAACTGAACTACGCCGTATTCAATATTTCGTAGGTAATTAAAGCTATCATTGTAGACGGCACCGAACTGCCTTACGAATTGACAAAAGACATCGACATCCAATATGTTAATGATATGTCAACACGAGAAGACTGAGAACACACGGTCAGGACAGCTGTACTGAAGGCGCCTCGCGTCACGCCGCCAGGTAAATAAAACAATCAGAACGGTAGAACGAGTCAGTTATCGTTACTCAGAACAGCAATAAGCAAACTTAATATTCAACAAATTGGCCCCACATTACGCAGATTTCGACTTCAAATGAATTCAACAAGGCTCGTTCGTGAGTCAGATAACTGACCGTCTATATTGATGAGGCGCGACGTGAGGACGCGAGTCCAGGGGTCTGCTGGGAGAGATCCGTCAGGCATCGACTACAACGAACTGAACACGACCCTAAACAATATACAGAACACTTATTACATAGAGACACCTTTCAATAAGATACTTATAAAAACACAAACTCCAAGATTATGTAAGTTTTTCTATATGAAAGACTATTTAATCTAATGAGACTTTATAAATGACATGCAAAGCTTCGCGAACGTATGAATCGATGGGTTTTTGTGCTTTGGTATAAACGTTGAGCGAATTCATAGATTTTAAGATATTTTACAATTCTAATGCAAAAGTTAGATCTAATTTACTTAGGGGTTGGACCCGTACGAGTACTCGTTCATACGATGAAGGTATATCAGACAGCACTGTAACATTAGATACAGTTAGTATTAAAACATAATTACAAGGAGAAATCTCAGTGATATGTAAAACTCCGAGGAGTTATATTCACTTACACTCTACGTCTAAAGCGTTACACTACGTTACAGTAAAATTATATATTAGAACTAATACCGACCACCTCGGAACAAAAGCGGCCGAGGACTCCGACTGGGACCGGCGAGAGAGGAAGCGGACCTTTACAGCGAGACTCATTTAAATAACACAGAGGGCGCTGCTTGGACGTGAAGCGATTACACTTTATATCATCTCGATCGCGGCTGTTTAAATCTCCGTTAAACGCTTCACACGAACCAAGCAACGCTCTCGTTCTAAAACATACGAGTTACTTCCGGAGTATATAATAGAAGGTAACCTTTAAAAATATATGTAAAATAACAACCGAACAAATGGCACCACTATCAGATCGCACCACGTTTGTAAATGTTATTAAAATATTCTACAAAAATGGCTACCTACATACTCAGAGTACTTTAGATAAACTTCATATAGCATACCGAATACAAACGATTCCATATGACGGGGTATAACTATCAAATACGGATAAAATAAAAAATAAACAGTATCAAAAATAATATTCGAGGATAAAAAAATAAATACGGGGACCACTTCGATCGACATTCCACGGCGAAATATATCCTGCAATTTTAAAAAATCAGCATCACCAACGTACTGTACAAAGCATGTTGAGATAATAAAAAATAATTAAAAAAATCATTAAAATGTGCTCCAATTAATTATTTACATTCTCTCTATGATATGCAAGTGCAAAGCTCACTAAATATCTTTACATGAAATATTCTATTGTCAAATTTGTATGATGTAACAACTATTCTATACCAATACCGTACATCAACAATATGTAGGTACTAATAAATAGTAACTCTTACAATTATAATAATCTATAGAGAACGACCTCGACTCGCCCTTGTGTACGTGGCGGTAGGCGGTACCTCCCCACTTACACTACTTCTGTTAGACATTTTAATGACTTTGGTATGGTGAGTCAGACAACTAGCTATCAAGCTATAACAGTAACCGGCTAGCGCTATTACTGACACCTATCATAATTTTTGTACGTTTTACAAAGAGAGTTCATTGTCATGTTACGTTCATATGACGAAGATTTCATTTTAGTGCTATAAATTCTAGATTGTTCCACTGGCTTAGTACGGAGCGAATCTGTTGTATCCGCTTCTGTAGACCGCGGTCTGGAAAATAAATATTTATTAAATTATTATATTAAATTGTATATAATTATGTATGTATGTGTAAAAATGAAATATTATTTGTGAGTGTTTATTACGTTAAATTTCTGATTTTTATTGAATATATGGATATGGATACATGTACATATAGCAAAATAACTTTTTTATCTATTTTTTATGTCTGTATTTATGTTGAATCCGGTTTATATCCGGAACCGTCAGATCTATTTTGACGGAACATACACTAGCAGATAATATATTATTATAAAGAGTGATTTAGGGTATTTTTATTTTAGAAATTCAATTGGTTTTAGTACTATGATCGTTAAAGAAAATAGCTATATATATGTATATGTATGTATATGTTTGACAGGTCGTTGACCCACCCCGTATCCTGTAACCGGACCGATGCTGTGTCCTAGATACGGATCCGCATACTCTCGGCCGTAGCTGAAATACAAAATATATTACATTAGTATTGTTTACACAAAAAAACAAATCTGATAAAAATTATAAATATAATCTTTGATTTTTATCGTATGATAATAAATTTCAAGGTCAATATTAGCGGATTCAAACTTGAAGTTTATGTAATATACACTCACACATACACACAGCGCGCTCACACTTCGATATACTTAGAAACCATCTAATGTACACATACTGAAATAAAGGACTGTCCAAATACGGAACCCGAACAAACAGACGAATTATCTCTTATTACTACTATATCATGTAGTAGAAAGCTGATGTTTTATCTATGGTTAATTCAATGTATGAAATAAATCTACATATATACAACGTGTAACGTAATTAACGCACACCCTCAAACACCCCAATTAGAATATAATAATATAAACGCAATGCATACACCAAATATTATTTATATGTGCGTTTGCATTTTTGATTTGTGAAATTAGTTATCCCAATTTCGTGCAAATAATATGGTCAGCTATTCATCAACACTCCGCTGCACACGCACACACAGACAGACACAATGTACTCGCCGCGCACGCGCCCCTCTATCCGAGTGCCGTCCGACGATAATAAGTAGTAGGTAATAATAAGAACACGAAATAACTACATTATGATTTATGATTCTTCTTTCCATCACACTTTTCAGGCTTTAGATTGTCGACATTGAATTTTTTTTTAATGTGAAGCCAATATTTTATAATTACTGATTTGTTGAATTCAATTTGTAAATAAGAATTATTAAACAGCTGATAACGCGTGATTTGATTAGACACCACAATACCTACGACAAAGTCGGCGTGTTTAAATGGCGTGTTTAAATTTGGGAAAAAAATGACCTACATAAAAAACTATAAAAATCTATCCAGATTTCGATTCTGAACAAACTACTTTCAGGGTGTGCGTTAATTATGTTACACGTTGTATAAGGTATTTTCGAATATGATACGTGTACTGACGTGGCAAGCGGCGCTAGCGCGGCTGGTGCGGGCGCTGCGCTGACTGCCGCTGCCGCTGCTCGTGCCGCCGCCCCGTAGTTCGCTGCTGCTGCTGCCGCCGCTGCCGCATGCTGCGCCGTCGTCAGCGGTGACTTCAGCAAGGGTGCTGCTGCCGCTGCAGCCGCCGCCGCCGCCGCCTATGAGTCAAGCATTAGTTATTTCTATTGTACAACCTCAGTTGAATGAACGTCTGATGAATGGACACTGTTAATGGTAGAGAGTTCTCTTCCAGTCGTATGTAACAGTTAATAAATGATGAACAATGAGCCCACAGAGGCACAAGTTACACTTAATATAAACCGGGTTAATCTTTATATATATACATAGTATTTTAGTTTTACAGCTTTAATATCAGGTGTATATAAATCTATATGATATCTTACCAGGCTTCGACTTCTCTGATGTACGGTCGCGTCTATTAAACATTATTAAGAAGCCGTGATATTTATTTCATCTGCGCAAGCGATGATGCATATTAAGAACAATAAAATAATAAATAAAAATAAATAAACTTAATTATATAACATTCAGTGTATATCATTTACGTTAGCATGCAACTCTCGTTATATAGTACATACCTACGTTATACATATACCTAAACAAACTACTTATCGCACACCAATTCATAACGAAAATTATTTATCTAATAATAATTCTTAAATATTATATATAAGGCATTCTTAGTTCATGCAATATATTACACACATATATTATATGTATCTATGTAGTATATAAACGCTCTAAGTCTATTATAAATCGTGATATGTTAGTACTTATGTATTAATATATATAATGTTCTGTGTTGTGGGCTCAATGTTCTACGTTACAGCGTCTGAGTCTAGAACGAGATCGCCCACCACAGTCCACAACGGACAAACTGACAAAGCACACGTCCGTTTATATAAACATGTGCCGGACCAACGGGCATACAATAAATAGCAACCAAAATCCCAACTCCACAATGAACAAACTCTTTACTAGCGTGGTTGTAAACATGAATTAGAAAGCGGTAATAATATATATATCTCTGTCATCCCCTTTACCTCCGCTGCGGGCTTCACGGCCTGCAACAACACGCACTCACTCATCTCACGTCGTATATATGTTTAACTATTGTTAGCTAACTTTAGCTTATAACTAATTAAATTAAATGTAACATTTTATTTAGATTTTTAAGATTTTCAGCGGACGAGATGAAAGACAATCATACCGGGGGACCGTAATCACGGTTTCTTCAAAGTAATCGACGAAATTATAAAATAAACGCGAATAAAAATCCCAAAAATGATATTTTTAAAGTGTTACATTGTATTAATGGTACCTGTAGCCTGTAGTTGGAGTCAGCAGTCGCCGCTGCAGCTAAGAACGGGTCGTAATACACACTGGAAATTATACAAACAAATGTCACTACACGTTAGAATAAAAAGTTATTATACAGGGTGTATAGAACATGTTATAACACCCTGTATACATGTATAAAAATATAATAAAAATATTTTCAGTTTTCTTTAATTATCCTTTTTTTTATAATTAATTTTAGAGAATATCATGTACACTCACCTTATTATATACTATATTTATATACAATATTAGCGACCAAAAATTTTAATTAAGATTATTAAATGCTTAGCTAAAATGGCTTCAACTACACATATGTAATCATGTTAATAAAGTTACTAGTGCGGATAGTGAGAGGGTAGTTACATATAATTTAAAGCATAAATTAAAAAGGAAGTGTTATTATTGTATATTTAATTTAATATTACTACAAGAAAAAAATACTATTTTGCATCATGCCATTCATTTCTACATATTTAAAGACATTTTTATCTAAGAGAAGATAACAAAATGCTTAGCGTTATAACAGATGAAAGTTACACGGAAGCAGTTCATTAATTATAAAATATTTTAATTCAACATATTAACAACAAAACTAACTTTAAAAATACTGTTGTGAGTGAGAATCTATTATGTTGTAAACTAAGTGCTGGGTTCTATGTTAGATGTGAAGTAAACATACCAAGTAACAATATTAATGGGTGGTGGGAGGGTGCTGGGAATTTAATAGAGGAGTTTTTGTAAGGAAAAGCCTCGCCTTCTGTTAGACAAATGTATTGTAATTAATGTCTTTCATCGCTTGTACTAAATACGATTTTTTTTTAATGTTCATAATTACAGAATTTCTTGACAACATTTAAATGGACGTTATTGATGTGTTTAAAAATATACTGAGTATTTATTATCTATCCACAATGAATATACCTATTATCATTACTGTGTGATTTTTATTAATGGTCACTTCACGTCACGTCACGTTTAGAATGTCAGTTATATGTATATTTTTTTAATTTCTGTAATCATGCTCGGTAGAAACCAGCCAGGATTTTTTTCTGGCCAAAGTCAATAACAGTGGACTATATGTTTTCAGAAGGGTGCTTCTAGGAGGGATGTGGGGGAGGGATGCTGTGCTGTGCGAGCTGTGAGTACTCACTGTGCGTATGCGTGCAACGGCGAGGCGAATGGGTTGGCGCGTGGCATCACCGCGGGTGCGAGGGGGTGAGGGTGAGCGGCCGGCGCGGAGGGGGGGCGCGGGGAGCGGCCGCGGAGGACGGCGGCGCCGCGCAGAGCAGGAGCTACATGCAACACACACACGGACTACTGGCATGCGGGGTGCGGGCGGGGGTGTGCGGCTGGGGGTGCGGGGGGTGAGTGACAGCGCGGGGGGCGGGGGGAGGGGGTACCTTCGACGCTGGGCGGCCCGCGGCGCGAGCACCAGCGGCGGCGCGGGCGCTGCGGCCGGCGCCGCGCTCAGCCAAGGCCACGTAACGCCGGACACCCGCAGCCCTGCGCACACATCGCGCCTCTAACATTGACCTCTACCACCTACACCCGCTACACTGACGTACTAGTACCGCGGTAGGACGCAGCCCGGTAAAGACGGTTTTGTTTTACATTCATATGTGTATCGGTGTAGACGACCGCCTTTATTACACGGATCGTGACGTCTTCAATGAGTAACGGATGTCGTCTTTATTGATGAGCGGACCGATGGTTATACGACATATCTGTTCGCAGTGTTCGGGACTTATCTCCGCAACTTATTAGATGCAATTCCAAAATGCTTACATAATGTTCCAATCATTAATCACAGGTAAACAATAAATCTATGTTACTATATGTACTATGCACTATAGTGATCGTATAACTATATAATCGTATGTATTAACATCGACTGTACCGGGAGTGTCAAGGCCATGCCACATTACAGCACCAGTGTGTTTGTATAGTGACCGGCGTGGGTTCGTATATTCCGAACGATAATCTAATCTGCTCTAAAGAAGCATGGCCGTTAGAATAGATCTTTTACAGATGCCTTCAAATCAATCGGTGACATACAAACATATCGAGCAATATAACTAATAAACCATAATCCCACCACATAATTAAATATCATGCTCGTATGAATGTTATTATAATGTAAACGCGATAAGCTTTGGTCGATAAGTAGTTTCTGTAGTGTAATCGTAAATGTCTCACCTTCCGGCCACTGGACACACACTGGAACAAAATAAAACATTGCAGGCATTAATTGGGATCAGTTCATTAGTGGGTCGTTCTAAACACGGCGCTAGACTAAACAATGAAAACAAACCTAGAAGACATTCTCCACTACAGAATGGAAACTGATAGTGCAAGGCTGACAACACATTCCGGAAAGAGTTCAAGGTATAGGAAACATGTTTAAAGTGTAAACTAATAAGCTGTCTAGATCTGGTGTAAGTCTGAGACGAGTCAGGAGAGACGCAGCTCGGAGACAGGAGCGTCTCCGCGATACGAAAATATACGACGCGATATATACGATATATGTAGATATTACTATTAAATTTTGACGTAACCGACTTCAAAGTAAAGTTACTATGAAAAACTCATCAAACAAAAACCGATTTTGATTATCTTATACAATAGATTTAATGCACTAGTAAGGAAAGGCCTACCTTACTTTCTAACTGTATGATAATCAACATAATATATTGATACAATCAGAACATATAATATTGAAGTCGGTTAATGACACTTCGTGTGTATACCAATGGGTGTAATGTATGTGTGTACGTCTGTCTCCGACTGCTGGGATGTATCTCATCACTAAACAGCATTCATCTACTGCATTCCAAGGTATCTAACATTTTACATGAACATTTAACAACAGCGAGTGTGCGTCACTCTCACCCAGAGTGGGGATCGATCCATTTCTAGTCAGAATATCTGGTAGGGTTAAAAAAAAACCTAAGATGCATTATATTATAGATATAAATGTATAATATTTATATGCTCTGGGACTGTGCTGTTCGTATGTGATATTAATTTTCGTTTAGGACATATGTATCTATGTTAGTGTGTTGTATGAATGCTTACCGTTTGGCACCGCGGGTGGTTTCTTTGTCTGCACCCTGGCTGTCGCGTTATTAACCTGATTTGAGAAGTAAATATTTGATCAACATAAATATCCCCTGTATATGTATTTAATTAAATAATTTTCATTCACTTCATTTTAATTTCACTTAATTACTTGATTACGAATGCTCCAATGGTATATAATTTTTTTTTATATAATCTAATAGAACGATTCGTACACAGGAATCGAACCTGTGATAGTTTAGAAATTAAATAATAATTTTATTTTTATCTATTAGCAACTAGTATTTTTCATAATTATATATTTATATATACATATATAATATATAAATAATAATAATAGTGTAATAATAATAATATGTGTTGATAATAATTTCCTTTGCTCAATGTCTGCGTCGTAAGCCTTGTATATGTGGGTAAGTGTCTAGGTATATATATTATTTGTTTGTTAGGGGACGCGTCCTCTGTAGTGATAGTAGGTATATATTCTCTATATCTCAAGGTCGGTTGGTTGGTATGTGTTTTGTATCATAGTGTGTGCATGGTGTCTTACCTGAGCGCCATCGAGATGGTAGGGACCGTTCTACATTCACTGTGAGACTCTCAATCGATCGGCATATTAAATGACCGTCTAGAGAGTAAAGGGATAAAATAAATAAGGTTTGTATGCGTATTAGACATGGCATACTTAGTGCTAATAGGGGCCGGCAACTACAGAGCAGACGGGCGCAGGTTGCGTATGTTAAAGTTACAGTGCTACGATGGTATTCATTGATCATGCACACCTCTATCTTTCTGCCCTCAACCACGGTGCCGTGAAGACGCTCTCGTGCTCGCTCCGCATCACCACTATTTGCGAATGTTACAAAACCGAATCCCTGCATGCAAGACAGACAAAACATGCATTAAAAAACAGCGTCGCTCAAAAAACAACGTGCAACAGAAAAAAAAAAAACAAAAAATAAAATAATCATTATTAAAATTCAACATTTATGCATTGCATATTTGTTTATTGATTTTTTTAATTATATGAATTTAATATTTTTTTTATGTATATATATTTTTTTAATAATCGATAGGATATAATTGACTTTATCGTTGATAATTTGAGCGTTATCTAGCTGAAGGGTTTAGGTACACAGAAGCGTATGTATAACATTATTTTAATGTATCTCGGCCTAGCGTATCAAAACTATTGAGGAGATCTGTATTTATAACATAGACAGATATCGTAAGGATTATATTATATAACTAATATGACAGTCACTACTATTGAAATAACTATTGTCTTATACGTGTGTTAGCTGCGATTTGATCTAAAGTCATCTCTCATGCAAAGGGGAACTAAATTTATCTACATCAGCGGTCTAATACAGGGGGCAATACTTATAATAATCATCAATTTTATGTACTAATTCCTTTGAAATCTCAGTTTAAGAACACCCTTTGTTTATATGAATGGGTGTTATTTGCTGAACAGAAATAAAAAATAATGATAATAATAAAAAAAATATTTTGTTGAGTGCATGATCTGTACAGTGCTGTAAACTCAAAAATAAATATCAAAAGCAATTATAAATAAACGTTTTCTTTAGCCTTTTTTTAACTTGTTATAAATTTTCGTAATTCACATATCACTTATACAAATTATATAACAGATTTTTTATATTTATATATATTATATAATATTTTTTCGTGCTGGATTAATTTAACTACAGTCGATGCACGGTGATAACCCATAGATACAAAAAGCAGCTAGCACAGCACACATTACAGTGGTAAAGACGAGTCGTGAAGGTTGCAGTTTTTATCAACGCTTACATTTATAAAAGCATGACAGCTCTATTATTATGTTAACCATTCTGAGTGCATGAGTTTAATGTGACGATAGGAGTGACAGAGAGAGAGAGAGAGAAAGAAATTAGACGAGAAGAGAGATGTGATAAGAATTAATTAATATTACAGCTCAGGATACAAGCCCATACATTACAGCGGTTCATATAATAGAAATCGTCATTAAAATACAACACGTAGATTTCATTTGATAGTACAAGAAGACTCATATACCAGACGGAAAAAACGATCCTATACGATCTCTATAAAATACATTTATTAATAAAAAATTCGCAATCAAATAATATACATGCCTGAAACTAATGAGTATGTTCCCATGTTAGGAAGCGAATGACACGAGTTACGTTGTCATAATTGTATAGAAAATATGAATCTAACATCATATACAATGTAGTGGCAAAAACTACGGTCATCACAACAGCTATGCTATATCTGATAGCTTACCAAGACAAGAAAGATAAGCCGAGCCCGTTACAATTAAATAAAAGTGAGAAGCGGTGCGTTTTGAACTTTCACATAGTTTATTGTGATCATATAACACAATAGAGCTGTCCTATATATAGATGTATTTAGAAAAATCAGCTGTTATACTGACGATGCATCATACACTAATACTGCACAACCCAATGTGAGGCACTGAAGATAAAATTTGGAACTATTATATCAATAAGTATAGTACTTTAGATATGAGGTAGCGTGGACTACTTAGGGGCGGTCACCAAACTGACACAAGGAAAGCGGTAAACACGAAAAAGCGTTCAATCCAATCAATTATTTAAAATAAAATAAAATTAAAAGAAAGTTCTTTTCAATAATCGATAGGGAGTTTACATTGTTTTTTGAGAATCATATATTTATATGATGCCATTAACACAGATTTACACGTCGCTTACTTTTATATACATTTATATATTAATTAATATGGAAAAAGTTAAATAAAAAGTATGCGACGTGTATAAAACATAACATTATTATAATATTTTATATCTGATTACGATGTAATATACAATGCTATTAGATATACTGCACCAAACGTTAAACCAAGAATAGTATGAGATAGTTCAGTACTGCTTCATTACGAATATTATTACTCAAGCCCATTTGCCTTTGAGTTTAGTTATAAATAATTATAGGAAAAGTTAAATTTAATTTTCGTTTCGGGAAGAAGATAAATTCTTAGCTCATTTAGTACTTAAATATTAAATTTAGTTTGGGCAGCTCATTGAAAATTATAAAGGATTCATAGCCTTTGACAACATTTCGTTTATTTGATATTTTAACATTTTAACATCACGTGTTGGCAACTACTATGAATCAGTACATTACAGGAATGTCTACGGACAGAGCCAACAAATCAATTACTTAAAATCAATTCCAATTATCGTAACTCGTCATACATTTATAGTTAACTGTACCTATAAATAAAATTCTAGCTATAATAATAAATAAACATTCCCGCAATATACAAAACAAAGAAGCGATATAGATTTAAATTTGGAAAGGCCATTATAGCTAGCATTTATTTTAAATCAATAATCAATATAGCTTCTTTATAAACAATAATTATAGCCGTCTAGAAATCATCGATCGTTGATTTAAGGCGGCTACTAGACTAGTTTTTAACATATAATACGGAGCATTTCTTACCTTGGAGCCTCGTTCGTTGAAGATAATTTCTACATCAAGTATCGTTCCATATTGCTGAAACGTAAAACAACGCTGTTAATGTCCGATACATTCTATATCTTGGCAGGCGAGGTTGTCATGCTGTGTGTGTGACTCACCCCGAACATGTTCCTGAGGTCCGGGTCTCTGAATCTGAAGGGGATGTTGGAGACGTGCAGTCGCTTGGGCTGTGAGGCCGTGACGGGTACGAGGCTCTTGTCGGCGGTCGCGGGCGTCGCACCCGCCGCCACCGCCGCGCTGACCGCCGCGGCCGCCGCGTGCGCCGCCGCCGCCGCCGCCGCCACACTCACCGGCGTGCTCTCCTCGTTCGACTCCGCTTCGCTTTGCTGACGGACCGATAGCTGACGTTTCATAATCGATCGATTCCCGTTAAACATTAATCGATCCCCATACTCCGTAACGGTAATTTACTTCTCGTTTATTTAAAAGCACATACGGTAGCCTAAATAGATTCGTGTGCCAAGTCTTAAAATAAGTGCGTGCAACGTTCGAAGCTACAATCATGTACATCGATATGTTAGTAGTGGACTTGGAGCTGGTGTTACTTACTGAATTCTGATTTTGGTTTTCTATCGAGTTCTGGGTGTGTTGCTGTGTCGGTTGAGGTGAGAAGTTGGTCGGCGGTAGGGGCGCCTGTGCGGGGGGTCCTTCGCTCTTGACGAGGGAGGCCTGTTGCGAGGCGGCGGCTCCGTTGTCGGCCTTGACGGCGGAGAGGTCTCCGTTAGCGGCGAACTGAGCCGCCGCAGCCGCAGCCGCCGCCGCCGCAGGGAACGGGCCCGCCATCCCCGTGCCCACCATGTGCTGGAAAACACATTCATATACATTAAAGCGTACACTATTACATCATATACTCCATACAATTTAACTATCTACTTAAAAACAGACTTAAAATTTAATGAAAGAAATCATGATTGTCCTATATTAGGACCAACTATATGAAAATAATCATTTATTGGCTGCGATCAAGCTTAATATTAAATAGGTCATCTGATACTAGATATAAATTTCTTCCAATAATCTACATATAGATTTTGTTAATTATAATAATAATATATGATGCTCTATTATTGACGTATCTGGGCTGCGTATCGAAATATTGACACTATGCTCGTGCCAAAATACTGTCAACGGTGTCTTGCATTCCTTTTGTATGTATATAACAGTTTGTTACAGATGTGAGTTACTGTTTTTTAATTAGTTGACCGTCTCAATTAGCATACTGTCGTCGAATATATAAACATTTTATCAACAAAAATCTAAAGAAACATTCTTAGAACTACATAATAATTTATATATATATATGTAGTTGTACGTAGAGAACAATTGGTATTTTTCAAGCACAGCCGTAAAGATGGCGTTTGTTAAGGAAACCCTTTAAACGTCTTGTATATAATAACAATGTTGAAAGCCAAAATACATTGTGAACAAATATATTTATTAGGCGCCGCCCACTTTCCTCCATTACTTTTAATACACCAAATCCTTGTATGATACAATATTAAATTGCTAAACACGGCCCTCCCACGGTCCCTTGGTTCTGATAAGCGTACACCCTGTTTCTATTAGACTTTCATTTTGCGAACTCTTTAAATTTTTGATGTTTGAAATGGGTCAGGACAAGGTACTGATTTATTATTAATTTGTTTATTATAAAATTTATATAATGTATATGAAAACGAGTAAGTATACTAAAGGATATACACATATTGCTTAGCTGGTATAAATAAAAACTATACTTAGATTTCAACAGAGCGCAGTTACGTTGCGGAAACGAGAAAATTAGGAAGTGGTTATTGGTTACAATTGTGCGGAGCGCTTCTGACTGGCGCGTACAGCGCACTTACTGTGTAATTCGCAACGCAAAACGACCTAAAAGCTACTCGCGGCAATCCAATTCTTGGTACATTTAAATATACTACATATTTTTTATAGAATTTAATTATTTTTTGCGATTTCTAATGACAATACATGAAATATGATCAACGTTATAAAAGACACAACAGATGGTAATCTTTAAAGCTTTAGTAAAACACCTACAATGAATCGAGGAAAATAAAATTCTATATCAACAAACTAAAATTAATCACACTTGAAAATGCGTATCTCTTTTCAGAGCTTTTAACTAAATAACACAAAAGCATCAAGCAATAAAACGTCAAGAATACACAAGGCTATACGTACTACAATACCAAGTAATATACTAAATGTTGGAATGAATACATTTTTAGTGAATGGCAAAATTTTGCTCTTATTGTGTTTCGGTTTACAAAAGGTCGGCATTTAAAAAAGCATCATCAGGGTTATTTCGACGATGGCCCTATTCCTGGGCACAGCACCCTACATAGTGGCCTGTGGGTGGCAACACCCTCTGTGTCGGAGATATTAATAATCACGGTCGCCCGACGCCGTCTAGCAACACTAGAACATTTTCAACCTTTATTGCTACAAAGATTTGCATAGTATTGTTAGGAACTCGTCGATAGTCAATTTTCTTTCATGTCAAATATTATAAACGATTTTGTAAAAGCTAATATATCAAATAAGAACATAATTTACATGTCAAGTCAAGTGTACAGATTCGAAGTTATTAAATTTTGCAACACAATAAAGTCGCGTATAACGAATTTTAATAACATCTTAGTATGTGAGACAAAAGAGATACGAAGATACGAGGGGTATATTTAGAAGAATTTCATAAACACAGCTGCAAATTACTGTCGAGGTTTATTGAAGAGTCACCGCCCTTAAGTCGGCATAAAGACTTCTTGGCTTTGAATTATAATTACAAGTATATGTGATATTTTTGACACAGGAATTGTTATTCGCCTCGCGCATTTGATTCCGTTGATATAAAATAAAAATGTCACTGAATATAATTAATATCATTTAAAAGCTCATTAACGCTTTTAATATTAATATAGCGACCGCAATACAATGACACCACGCTGAGTTAATCTACCTTATGATACTCGTAAAATGATATAAATGGAACATTAAAAATTATATTGGTCACTCAACATCACGCGGCTCGTTTAATATAATTATAGATCTAAAAAATATCTTATTGGCACGAAGATAGTTGTGAAATGATAAAGTCCGCTCTGTATGCGGCACACCGCGGTCGCCACTCATATCCGACGATTTGAACTGGGTGTAAACATTTTTTTATAACCTATGTATGTATGCTCTGCTATATATCGACCATCGAGCGTTCAACCGTGATGCTGCTCCCGACTCCCAGGAACGGATGTTTACACAACAAAATGATGGCAGGTTCCCTTAAAACGTGATTCTTTAAAGACTTACTTACGAGAAGACTGTTATAAAAGATTTAGTTGAGATATTTATATACATAGTACATTCGATTTGTTTGTCGGTGAATCAGTTTGAATGAGAAATAGACTCGAAAATAACAATCATCTTTAACGATTCAATGACTAGTAGCGTATAGATAAAAATATAAGAGTCGGAGGTCGAAGTGTTTGTTGACCGTCGCCTTATCATGGCTGAGACAAAGATAAGTAAGTAATAAATAATGACTATTCGTGATAAAGGGTAACCTAATTAGTTATAATAAAATTAACTACATATTTGCTACAGAAGCATGCTTTGTTTTTCTCATACTTTGTATATGTTAACATTTAAGAGAATCGTTTCGACGAGTTCCAAATCAAGCTGTAGGGTATCCGTAATGTTTATAAAATTGCACCAGCTGCTTGTGAACCCCTATCGTAAAACCCTTGTTTATACGAGGGTATGAGTTTCCTCTAATAATAGAACAGACGCTGTATCTTTAACTGTTAAAGTGTAGAATGATCGCACCGACGCCATTTTGCATATTTATACCGTTTTTTTATTCAAGACTAAGTATGAAAGTACACTCTAAATATATTCTCTGATAAGATTTTGCTTTATATTTAACAAACATCGCTGTATTGTGTAAAGTTCAATTACTGTATGTGTGCCACCGCAGCTAAACGCCGCACCCGCGCCGATGACAACCATATAATTACATCACTAAGAATTAACATTAATTGATCTTAAATGGTCCATGTGAACATAGAGGAGGCTGGCTAGGAACTTTCGAGCTTTGTTCTAACTGAAGAAAACAATTATATTACAAGTTGTTAGGTAGAACTTTAGTGTGTAACTTTTGACTTACATGTACTGACTAATATAATAGATAGCATCTACAAAAAGAAATGCGCATATAATGTTCATGTATTCGTATAAAACAATTGTCTACTTGAATGAACAGGGATACGAATTTCTGTGAAGAACAAAAATCTTGAATTAGAACAAAGAATATACGTTAGAGATGCAAGTACTTCTGTCTCACAGTTGAAGACTATCACTCCTAGCTAGATAGAGAATACTTATTGTATTATATAAAAAAATATATATAAAGACAACTCTATTTATAAAATATAAGTAAAAAAGGTAAACAGTCTCTCAGTTGATACTGGTTTTATTAATATACTTTCCAAAGCTTTTAATAATGCAAAAACAAATATCAACCTAAACAGAAACGGTAGGAAATAGAAGCTGTATGGAATACCGGCAGCTTTGGCGATTTAGGCAACCGCTAACAAAGGGCTTAAGAAAAATCTAGCAAGCTTTGTAAACACGATGTAAAAAATATATATTGTACGCACGAATGTTTCAAGTTTTTATAAAAATAATATTTCAACAGCCAAAATTCAGGAAAATCTATAGCTATAATTCTTTAACATTTAATCTATTACGGTAAGTCAAATAAAACATGTTAGTAATTTAAATAATACATCTAGATAATAATAAATTATCCAACGTTATATCGTGTTAATAATGTATGCCAGCGGTAGTTCTTTTAATAACTATCACGGGTCAACTCTTATTTCACTCATGTGACTTTTATGTCAGACATTTCTAAATTCCTACCCCAATCTCCAGCCATAACATTGCAGATAAATTATCGAACGAAAATAAATTCGGGTTACGTCAAGACCGCCCATATCCACGAGCAGAATGTGCCAACTGGAAAGGAATGTTAAATTGCAACCCCTGTCCTCTTTGTCTTGACATGTCGCAAGCCCGAGTCTTACATCCACCAGGAACCGCCCGACTAAAGGATAAACAATATGGCCCTCTTTCAAACTATATTCGAAACACGATTGTTCCAAAAACGGAAAAGAATTTACTTCTAGTTTAGTATCTGAAGAAACGAGACGGCAATCAGCAATCAATAAGGTTATTTTAGATAGAAATACAATAAAAACGCAATTTCCGGACATTTTAAATTTATTAGTTCCGCATCTCATGCCTTTTGAAAATAACGAACGCAACGACGACTGGAATCGCAACAGAATCGACGGATTGATAAAAAGCACAAAGTTGGCTCGCTTCTATTTTAGTTCATCAGAATGTTGGTAAAGAGATGTAGTTTCATGAGATCTGAAGAACGCTCACTCTGGCACGGAGCGAGCTCAAGTTTCTGTTAGTATTCTTTTGGCGCATATTATTTTGTATATTAATATTCAACAGTTCACAGTGGTGGTACGTGACTAAGGGAGTATTTACAGTGCTTAGCGAAGCGTTCCCCAGCCTCCGCTCAAGTCACTGGCCACCCCAGCACACAGCCTCCTCCGTGCATATGGATGATTTGCAAAACCTTATCTAGCTTATTATTATAATTCATTAAAGAGTTTAACATACATTTAATATAATACTTCTTTAACGACACATAAAAAATGAATGACGTTTTTTGGGGCTGCCACTTTTAGTTAACTAATAATGCTCACATATGTACTCATATCTTA